AGGCAGGAAACACAATCAAAGCTCTCCTGACAAATGGCCCCATCCAGCCTCTGCTTGAAAAACCTCCAGAGAAGGAGACCCTACCAGGGCCAAAGCCAGCAACACATTCCATGTCAAGAAGTTCTTCTCAAAGTTTACATGGAATCTCTTTCCCTGCAGTTTGAACCCAGTCCTGATGTTTAAAAGTCCTAATTTTAAAACTCTTCAGGACGTTCATGGGGTTTGGCCTGATGGCTTGTGTTGCCTGGTCCCTTTAATGCAGTGGTTCCCAACCTTTGTTTGACCAGGGACCACTTTGACCAGGGACCACTCTCCAACATTAGTACCAAAAGGGTTACGAGTCAATTTTTGAACAACTTTAGATTCTGATTGCTTATTTGGGCTGCTGATTTAGAAAATGGCATTGGATAAACCACATCAGCTCTAGTTTCTGATACAGAACATATGACATCCAGTAGTCACCATCTGCTTGCCCACAGAAAACATTTATTTATTTATTTATTTAGGACACTTATATGCTACCCAGCTGAGTCACAACAAAAAAACCCTTCACCTAACGCACTTTGTTTCCCTTTTCACCCTCAGGCTTCTCCAGCATGGAGCTCTCGGAGGTGGTGAGCAACGCTATCCTGTCAGCCTACAACGGGAGCCTCCTGAACGTGAACCTGGGCAGCCCTCCTTCCGACTCCGCTCCCTGCGGGGGGCCCCCCATCACCTCCAACGACGCCCTCCTCTTCCACGAGAAGTGCGGCACCCTCATCAAGCTCAGCAACAACAACAAGACGGCCGAGCGGCGGAGGCCCCTGGACGAGTTCAACAACGGAGTCGTCATGACCAACCGCCCTTTGAGGGACAACGAGATGTTTGAGGTAGGGAGGAGGGAAAGTGGGGTTTTGGTTCTGGATTTGAATCTTGGGCCTTCAGGCTCAAGGCTTGTCTTCATTAGGTTAGATTCCATTTGGGCCTCAAGCCCTCCAGACTTCCCAGAAAGGTGAAACACCTCTCCATGGGACTTTGCACACCATGCAGTTATAGTGCTATGATTTATTTGCCGGAGCAACAACCTATGCAGTGATGAGCTTTGTGGGCATATAACAGGCATAGACAAATTTTGGCTCTCCTCCAGGTGTTTTGGACTTCAACTCCCACAATTCCTAACAGGAATTGTGGGAGTTGAAGTCCAAAACACCTGGAGGAGGGCCAAAGTTTTCCCATGCCTGGCTTATAATCATAATCATATTGTCTCATGTATTTTTAATATTTGTATTTTAATATATGCTTTTCTGGTTGCATTCTAACTATGTTTTAATGTGTCATTTTATAGATGTATTTATGTTCTGCCTTGTCTAGATCTGAAAAGAGAGTAATACATCAATCATAACAACAACTATTATTATTGTTATATATAACACAGCCCAACAAAAACATTTTTTGGTATTTTGGTTTTTAGTCCTGTTCCTGGGATTCTTTGGGGCATTGATTCAGAAAATTGGATTGTATAGGCCTCATCAACACTTGGTTTTTTATCAGTGAGCAGTTAGCGACTGATATATGGTATATGTCCTTTATCTCAAAAACTAGAGCTGATAGGTCAAAACTTGTGCCATTTTTTGGAATTAGCAGGTTAAATATAAAATAGGGCTAATATTTGAGGCACCAACATGTGCATTGGCCAGTGGAATAATACTATAACTGTGTGGTATAATGAACCCTCGTTAACCTGAAATACTAGCAATTTAGCTTTTAAATAAGTTACACAATTGCACTGTTTATCATTAGACCTTTTTTATTTTTGAAAGCTAGAAGTGGGTTGGAGCCGCCGGATGTGCAGTGGGTTAAACCGATGAGCTGCTGAACTTGCTGACCGAAAGGTCGGTGGTTTGAATCCGGGGAGCGGGATGAGCTCCTGCTGTTAGCCCCAGCTTCTGCCAGCCTAGCAATTTGAAAACATGCAAATGTGAGTAGGTTGGTAGGTACCACTTCTGTGGAAAGGCAATGGTGGTCCATGCAGTCATGCTGGCCACATGATCTTGGAGGCGTCTACAGACAACACCGGCTCTTTGGCTTAGAAATCGAGATGAGCACCCCCCACCCCCAGAGTTGGACATGACTAGACAATGTCAAGGGGAAACCTTTATCTTTAAAAGTGGGTTGTTTTGGGGAGGTCTGAGTGTCTCAGACTAGTCTTCTGGCACAAGAGAAGTCGTTTGTATTGGACCAAGATCTTTCTGTGTGGATTTAATCATATCTGTGTCGATGCCTACAACCTTAAACCAGCTTTCAGTGTGGCATGTCCCTGGACATGATATGTTGGAATTACCTCCCAATGTCCTCAGACGAAACTGTTCATGGTAAAGGCTGTCCTACTTCTTTTTTCTGCCAGATCCGAATCGACAAATTGGTGGATAAGTGGTCAGGATCCATCGAAATTGGGGTCACCACACACAACCCCAATAACCTGGAGTACCCGGCGACCATGACCAACCTGCGCTCAGGTGAGCACCTGGCTGATACTGTCTTGAGGCACTGCACCCAGTGAGCCAACTGGGACCACCACTGGGACCACCTTTACTGGTTTGCGCCAGTCTTTGCAGTTCAATCTTTAAATCCTCATATCGTGTCAGCTTTTCCAGTTGTTTCTCTTCAATCCTGCTGACACCTGGGATTGTGACATTGACAATCCATGCTTTGTTTTTTAACATGATTGTGGGGTCAGGAGTCTTGTGCTCCAAAACTCAGTCAGTCTGAATCCAGAAGTCCCAGAGTAGTTTGACGTGCAGCTCATAACAAAAATACCTATGTGAAGTTATGTTGAGATTAATTTCACAATTCAGCAGCAGATCAGTTGCATAACTTCAGCGCTTTCCAGTAGCTTCTTCCTGCACAGTATTTTCAGTCAACTGCTCCCACAAACTGCAGTCACTCTGGAACTCTTTACAGACACTTGAGCACATGCCCGGCCATTGTCAGTTTTACTATTGTTTTCCCCTCCAATCTAGATGACACTACAAACTTACCACAGCACACGGTTATATCTTGTCTTAGCAGACAGGTTCTTTTAATCAATTACATAGAGCCTTCGATGAACAACATCACAGCACAAGGAGAGAGATATACACTGTACATGACTTCCTTATATACAATTCTATACAATTACACATAGCAATCTCTGATTGGTTCCCAACTCATTAACTTAACTCAGACCCAGGATTACATCATTCACAATCACCTGGACTAGGCCAGAACACATTACCCAAATGAAGTTCTATATACAGTTAATGCATGACTCAGCGTTTCCAATAGAAGCCCATTAGCAGTGCATGACTCAGCTATATTACATTACAATACATTGTAAAACCTGACATGATCCCACCAGTTAGTTGTCGCAGGCAGATGGTATTTGTAGCACAAGTTCCAAAGAATCATCTGAGCAACAGTGTTGTGCCTCTGCTTGTAGTCTGTCTGCGCGATCTTCTTGCAGCAGCTCAGGATGTGATCTATTCGTTTTGTCTGCTTACTTGCAGTGTCTACATTTTAGTAATATAATAATAATAATTTATTAATTTTCTTAAAATAATAATAATAATAATATATTAATTTTATTAATATAATAATAGTATGTTATTATTATTATTTTTTAGTAACCTCTTATCTTGTCCACATTCCTTCACTCCTTCCTATGTATTTGTGGCACACGTTCCAAAGAATCATCTGAGCAACAGTGTTGTGCCTCTGCTTGTTGTCTGTCTGCGTGATCTTCTTGCAGCAGCTGAGGATGTGATCTATTGTTTCATCTGCTTATTTGCAGTGTCTACATTTTCTTAATATAATAATAATAATAATATTTTTATTAATTTTCTTAATATAATAATAATATTTTATTAATTATCTTAATATAATAATAATATTTTATTAATTTTATTAATATAATAATAATATATTAATTTTATTAATATAATAATAGTATGTTATTATTATTATTTTTTAGTAACATCTTATCTTGTCCACATTCCTTCACTCCTTCCTATGTATTTGTGGCACACGTTCCAAAGAATCATCTGAGCAACAGTGTTGTGCCTCTGCTTGTTGTCTGTCTGCGTGATCTTCTTGCAGCAGCTGAGGATGTGATCTATTGTTTCATCTGCTTATTTGCAGTGTCTACATTTTATTAATATAAGAATAATAATATTTTTATTAATTTTATTAATATAATAATAATACTTTATTAATTATCTTAATATAATAATAATAATAATATATTATTATTATTATTATTATTATTATTATTTAGTAACATCTTATCTTGTCCACATTCTTTCACTCCTTCCTACTCCTTTCCGTTCCGTCCTACCTTCTCTTAACCGTTCCTAACTTTGTGAAATTCACTTTACATTTTCCTAGTCCCCAACATGTTTTTCTCCTCTCCCCAGGAACCATCATGATGAGCGGCTGCGGCATCCTGACCAACGGCAAAGGGACGAGGAGGGAGTACTGTGAGTTCAGTCTGGACGAGCTTCAGGTAGGGCTTTGTAGCGCTATTTCTGCATTGTACCCTTGCCCTCATTGGGTGCAGGAAGTATTGTGTTGCACAGATCTAGGACACAACTTAGACTAGGTTAAGGGCAAACACGGGCCCTCCAGGTATTTTGGACTTCAATTCCCATCATTCCTAACAGCCTCAGGCCCCTTCCTTTTCCCCCTCAGCCGCTTAAGCGGCTGAGGGGGAAAAGGAAGGGGCCTGAGGCTGTTAGGAATGGTGGGAGTTGAAGTCCAAAACACCTGGAAGGCCCAAGTTTGCACGTGCCTGACCTAGACCAACTGAAGTGGGACAACTGCTTGGTTGAATGGATAAGGTTTGGATTCAACTAAAGCAGTGGACAATCTCATGATGTCCTACACTATTTCTCTGTTTCTGCAGGAAGGAGACCACATTGGCTTGACTAGGAAATCCAACAACGCCCTTCACTTTTACATCAATGGTATTGACCAAGGTGGGTGTGCTTTGGAAATAAAGCTGAGGTGGGGTCTTGAAAGATGGTGGGGCTGGAGTCTTGTTTCTTAGACAGAAGGAAATATTATTAGAGCTACTCAGTCATTCTGTACCTGCTTCTCGCCTTCAGCCAAACACAAATGTCTCCATTGCCAGGTTATTTGGAGTTTTTCTCTTAGCGGAATGAATTTTCACCATCTCTACAAGAAAGCAGAGTGCTTTTCCATGTCTCATTGTTTGTACTTCGCACTGAATGACTACAGTTTTGGGCCATTCCAGACAGGCCCTATATCCCAGGATCTTATCCTAGGTTTTCTGCTTATTTATTTATTTATGGCATTGATATGCCGCCCTTCTCACCCCGAAGGGAACTCAGACTGGCTTACAAGATATATATATATATATATACATACAGTATGTTATATTATTAGCATAGTACAAAGTCAATATTATATATTACTATAATCTAGTATACCATTATATTGTAATATTATTAGTAACATTACATGTAATATAAAATACATAATTATAATATTGTATTATTATTAGTATTATATTGTATTACATTATTTTATTTATTTACAGTATTTATATTCTGCCCTTCTCATCCCGCAAGGGACTCAGGGCGGATTACAATGTACACATATATGGCAAACATTCAATGCCAAAGACACACAACAGATCTAGACAGACAGTCAGAGGCTATTTAACTTTTCTGGCCACCAGGGGAGCTGTCGCTTTCATCATCCATCTGCGACACTGATGAAGTACTTCCGCATTCCCCACATGCTTTTGCTGGAGTGCTTTGCTGGAATCTTTTCTATGACCTTGTAAATTAGTTAAATTAGCCTCCCCACACATAGGTGGTACCTATTTTTCCTACTTGACAGATGCAACTGTCTTTCGGGTTGCAAAGGTCGACAACAAGCTACACAATTGGTCAGAAGCTCACTCCGACCCGGGCTGACTTCGAACTCATGACCTTCGGGTCAGAGGTGCTCTTAATGCAGCTGATACTCAGATAGCTGTGCCACAGTCCCGGTGGCACAGCTGTCTTGAGAGTCAGCTGCATTAAGATAATATTATAATATTATAAATATTATAAATATTATCTGTATATACAATATATTATATTGCATTGTATTATATTATATTAGTGGCATAGCACAGGAGACAAGCTGGAACTGTCTTCTGGCCCCCTCTTCACTCTTATTATCTGGCAGTGCGGACCGATATAATCCAGTTTAGAGCAGAAAACCTGGGATCAGATTCTGGGATATAGGGCCTGTCTGGAAGCCCCCTTCAGAAAGCCCCATAAGATCTTTAGCCATAGAAGAGCTGACCTTAAATGGGTTAGAAATGGCTACAAATGAAATGGAATCTAACTCATTCTCCTTATTTATTTACTTTTGGGTTCTATCACATCTGAACTGGGTGATGATAAGTATTATTATTATTGTATTATTCTGATTGTTATTTCTTCTAACCCACTTTATCTCCCTTAAAAATAGACCCAAAGCATCTAACAATAAAAATAATGCAATATATAATTTGAAACTCAAAACAAAACCATATAAACTAGATATGGGCCAACTTCGGCCCTCCCTCCAGGTGTTTTGGACTTCAACTCCCACAATTCCTAACAGCCTACCGGCTGTTAGGAATTGTGGGAGTTGAAGTCCAAAACACCTGGAGGGAAGGCCGAAGTTGGCCCATGCCTGGTATAAATCCATGTGATGACAATATCTGTTCCTTGATGAATCAACATGTGCCGAAACCTTCGTGCTCCATTAGGAAGGCCGCGGTCCTTTGCGTGGCCCGGCTCCTCCCTTTCCTGCTGGAGGTGCCCAAGCGGTGGTCCATTGGCCTCCCCTTCCCTTCCAGGCGTGGCCACCACCCTCACTCCACTGGTCGTCTACGGCGTGGTGGACCTCTACGGCATGGCCGTCAAAGTCACCATCGTCCACAACCACAACCACAGCGACCGCCTCCGGCGCAACAACGCCATCATGAGGGCCCTCTCGCCGGATGTGGGGCGCCGCGCCATCGACGCCGGGGGGAACGAGCCGGAGCCGGAACGACTCCTTTTCCACCCGAATTGCGGACAGAAGGCCGCCATCATCAATGAGGGACGCACGGCACTTCGGCCCCAGTAGGCATCTCACCCGCTTCTTTCTTCAATTACCATAGAATGTTGTATTTATCATAGTAATAACGCGACACCTTGTCCGCCACTTCCTCTTCAGTGCTACGGATGACTTCAATCATGGGGTGGTCTTGAGCAACCGGCCGCTTCGCAACGGGGAGGTCTTCCAGGTGCGCATTGACAAGATGGTGGACAAATGGGCTGGCTCCATTGAGATCGGCGTCACTACGCATAACCCGACCTACCTGCAATTGCCTTCCACCATGACCAACCTACGGTCAGGTGAGATCCCACAGACCTTGAGGTGAACTGTGTTTCTTCAAAATGCTGATTCTAGCGAGCTGGAGGTCCTCCTCCTCCTTTTTGAAATATATTTGTATTATTATTACTTATTGCTTTTCCATCATATTATTTACACTTAAACTTTCAATCACCCATTTTTTAAAATCTTTCCACCCTCATACTATTACTGCTTGTTCTTCTGGGATCATACTTCTGTTCTTTTGTATTGATTCTAGTATTGCCTAGTGCTCCCATTAAAACATATCTAATTTATTTGTAACTAGCCATCCCCTGCCACGCGTTGCCGTGGCCCAGTCTGGTGATCTGGAAAATGAGAAAGTGTTGGTTTCTAATATATGTATTTTCTTTATGCTTGTGGGTAAACAGTATTTATTGTTTGTTTGTCAGTGTTGATGTGGAGATTGTCTGGTTTGCCAACTTTGGAACAGGCAACATATAATTGTCCTTCTTTAGGGGTCCCTTTCAAATCTATGATACTATATCTCTCTATGTGTGAATCATATATATCTATCTATATTTATGACTGGATGGCTCTTTGTCAGGAGGGCTCTGATTACATTTTCTTGCCCTGGTGAATAGAGTTGGACTGGATAGCCTTAAGTATTTTCTGTTGGTCATGGGGGTTCTGTGTGGGAAATCTGGCCCAATTCTGTCGTTTGTGAGATTCAGAATGCTCTTTGATTGTAGGTGAACTATCAATCCCAGTAACTAAAATCCCAAATGTCAAGGTCTATTTCCCCCAAACTCCATCTGTGTTTATATTTGGGCATATGGAATATTTGTGCCAAGTTTGGTCCAGATCCATCATTGTTTGAGTCCACAGTGCTCTCTGGATGCAGGTGAACTGCAACTCCCAAACTCAAGGTCAATGCCCATCAAACCCTTCTAGTGTTTTCTGTTGGTCATGGGAGTACTGTATGCCACATTTGGTTCAATGCCATAATTGGTGGAGTTCAGAAAGCTCTTTGATTGTAGGTGAACTATAAATCCCAGCAGCTACAACTCCCAAATGACAAAATCAATTTTTTGAGTGAAGTACATACATTGATTGGGTTGTTAGGTGTATGCTGTCCAAATTTGGTGTCAGTTGGCCCACTGGTTTTTGAGTTCTGTTAATCCCACAAACGAACATTACATTTTTATTTATATAGATGTTACTTTGCGTTTTTTCCATCATCTTCGTTATCCTTTCCCAAAAGTGGATTACCTTTGGGCATTCCCACCACATATATGAAGGAATAATACCATCCCTTATTTTTTTCAAATGCCAGCATATTGAGCGTATTCCTTTTATTATATGTGATAATGGGCGGGGGTCCTGTACCATTTAAATCTACGTTTTCGTAGCTGGAGGTCCTGCAAAGCATCAGCTTTCCCCTGAAGTTGGAGGCCTATAACTCCCAAGTATCCACCAGCTAGCTCTGAAACACGAGTTAGGTCAGGGATGGGCAAGGTGTGGACATGAGTACCCGTACATACAGCCTCAGAAGCTTCTCAAAGCCCCCAATTTCCCACCTTAATTTTTTAATGGAGATTTTCAGGTGATCCCCTGAAAAGCGCTCTCTCTAACCCCAGGATAAACAATGTGGCTGATAGCATTTGGGGACATTCTTTTAACCTGTGTTTCCTTCTCTTAGGCACTTGGATGATGACAGGAAATGGCGTGATGCACAACGGAACGACCATCTTGGACGAATATGGACACAACCTGGACCGACTGAAGGTGAATCTGGTGGGAGCCACAGACTGCTTGGTTGAATGAATAGGGTTTGGGTTGAATCAGATGAGCAACCTTTAGAGGTCTAGGGGCCACCTCCACCTTTTCTAATCTGTTACTTATTTGCTTCGTTGTCAAAATATTTTTCTCCCCTCTTCTCAGGCAGGCGACACGGTGGGAGTGGTGCGCAAGGAAGACGGGACACTGCACTTCTTTGTCAACGGCGTGGCACAAGGGCCAGCTGCGTGGAACGTCCCACCAAACATCTACGCTGTGGTGGACCTGTACGGGCAGGCGGCCCAAGCGACCATAGTGGATGACACGGGTAAGAGAGGAGGCTAGATTTGGGCGTAGAACTTAACGAGGCCCCATTAAGAACTCTTGTTACAGCTCTTGGACCCTCTAGCTCAAGCATGGGAAAACTTTGGCCTTCCCTCCAGGTAATTTGGACTTCAACAACCACAGTTTAGGAATTGTGGGAGTTGAAGTTGGAGGGAGGGCCAAAGTTTGCCCATGCTTGACCTAGATCAAGCCTGCACAACTTGCCAGTCGTAATGAAGGAACCAAAGTTAGAAAACGCAGGATTACCCCCTCCCATTCGAGAAGGAGCAATACGTATTGTGTCTTTTTGTTTATCTTTTGAGGTGCCTAATTTAGTAGAATGCAGAAGTGAGCTTAAGCCAATGAAAGGAGAAGATTTTATAATATGACCAAATACGAGAAACTTGACCTAGGCTAGAACTATGACCTGAGATGTTTACAAGGAAATATAAAAACCCTCCAGAATATGTTTTGTCTGCTGCGGTGCTCACTTTGAGCTGAGTTACAGCTGATACCGTATGCTTTCACAGCTGTGAATAAAGTTTCTTTCTCTTTGAACTGTCTGAGACTGTTTTTGGGTGTGCCAGGACGAGCTGAGAACCCAGGGCAGTGACAGATGGTCTCAAGGGCTGTAAATCCACCACTTCAGTAAAGGGCCAAAATTAAAATAAGTGAAACGTCTTTGGATCGCAGATAGGTTTTTAGCAATTCACTTTCCAGGTAAAGGTATAATTCAGGGGTCCTCAAACTAAGGCCCGAGGACCGAATACGGCCCTCCAAGGTCATTTACCCGGCCCTCGCCAAGGGGCAACCTAAGTTTGAAATGACTTAAGAGCACACAACAACAACAATCCTATATTATCAGCCAAGAGCAGGCCCACACTTCCCATTGAAATACTAATCAGTTTATATTTGTTAAAATTGTTCTTCATTTTAATTATTGTATTGTTTTAAAGTGTTTTTGCATTACAAATAAGAATGTCCAGTGTGCATAGGAATTCATTCATGCTTTTTTCAAAGTATAATCCGACCCTCCAACAATTTGAGGGACTGTGACTTGGCCCTCTGTTTAAAAAGTTTGAGGACCCCTGATATAATTAAAGAATAAAACTATTGTGCAAATAAACCATACTATTAAAAATGAAAAGTCTGAGGGACAAGGGGAAGCCTAACCCCCTTTGTCAGCCTCTTGCCATTTCCGTGTGAATGACATGAGGCTGGTGATGTGGCTGGTCTTCCTCTCACAGGCTGCAGAGAAACTCTTTGCGGGCTATATCTGGCTTGCAGGCTGTATGTTGTGCAGGCCTGATCTAGACACCGAGCTTCTCTTGATTCAGGCTACAATCGCATTTGGCTTTTTCAGCTGCCACACCTACTGTTGTCTCATTGTCAGCTTGTGGTCCACTAAATCTCCTAGATCCCTTTTACAAATGCTGTTCTCAAGCAAAGTGTTTTAAGTAGGTTACCAACCTTCACCTTACCACTATTTCAACACATGTTTTTCTAATCCAAAGTGAATGTCTTACTGAGTACCGTTTTGTTATTAATTTGACTTTTATTTTTGGTTGTCTGTGTGACCTCCTCAGAGGTCCCCACAAGCAGAAAATCCACCCTGTGTCCCATTGAGAGGAGTGTCTTTTGGGAGCTGGATTTAACAGGACATTGCATTTCTTCAGTGACACGTTCTCCCTCTGCCCTTCTCCTTGTCATACTCCCTTTGTGCATTGGCTGTGTTGCTATAGAGTAAGGCTTCTCTCAAAACAAGGCGCACAGGAGCTGAGTGTTGCAACTCAGGATAGATTCACCTTGCCCAAGACACCACCACACACCAAGGCTGTAGGTTTTGTAGTTTATTGAAGAAAAAGCAAAATCAAAAACATAGAAGTAAAGTTGCAAAAGTTCAATAGCCAAAACAGAATCTTAAATGCAAAGGCAAGGTTTCCAAGATCCAAAGGCAAATAACATGAAGTATAATCCTTTAGCATTAGTTAAACAAGAACCCATGGCAGCATGACAAAGTCCCCAAAAATCAAGATCAAAACCAAAGTCCCAAAGAGCTAGAAGCTTTCCCCAAAAGCCGAGGTAATTTCAGAGAAGTTAACAGGGTGTAAGCAACATTGCACTGACAAAGGATAGACTTAAATCGCATCGTTAAATGTTTTCCCAACATGAAAGCATTACGTTGACCTTGAATTTCCCGTTTGTTGGCAAGCCGCGCGCTTCAGCAAACCCTTAATTGCAAACAGTCCTCCCTAATCAAATCTCCACCATCTTCAAGGCTGGATGCCTCATTATCCTGGGACTGGTCACCCTGGGAATCGAAAGGCACTGAACTCCCAGATGCCCCACCTGCAGCTGTGAAGTTTCACTATCTTTATCTAAAACAACATTCCTTTCTCTGGGAAACAGAAATGCCGTCTCTTCTTCAGAATTAACAGTCTGCCTCAATAACAGGGACATGTTCAGAAATCTATAACCCATCATCCTCCTCGTCTTGAGGAAACTCAGGCTCAGAAAGCTCAGGCTCAAAGTGAGTCACAACACTGAGGATAACTAATGTCTTTACTGTTCAAAATGCATGAAACATGCTCTACAGCCCATATATATGGCGCTTGACCTATAATATCATAAATCACAGAAATCTTCCGATGTCTGCTAATTCCCACACATCAGAGCCATCGATCAATCTTACCCCTGCTATCAATATGTATAGATTGTGCATCCATTGTGTGTAAGTAACCCAGATCCTCAGGTGTCCCCCCTTTCCAGCACTTCAAAGCCATTGGTCTTTATAATCAACTAATGTCATTTTCCCATTTCCTGCCTCGTTTGTCCATATGTTGTGGGACTGCACCAGGGATGTCGTAATTAAATAACATGATGATGGCATTCCTCCCCTGCAGACCTCCTTCCGCTTCCGGATGACTTCTCTGAAGGAAACAACCAGCTTTCTCCCAGCAGCCCTTCCTCCATCGCCTCCGGGAGCGACCTGCGCTTCCACCACCTCCACGGCAATAATGCTGTCATCACCAATGGCGGACGCACGGCTCTGCGCCAGAATTGCCGGAGCGAGTTCAACGACGCCATCGTTATCTCAAATCGGTCAGTGGAGGGCTGAGGCATGGACAGGACACCCTCCTGGCTTTGAAAAGTGGTCTGGTTCAGTGTTCCTTCTCTCCTTGCCCCCAAAAGGAAGGAAGCAGCTGTGTCTGTTTTTAAATTAGCTGGTTTTCATACTTCATCTGTGTAGGGCGAGCAACACCGAAGAAGTATGAAAACCAGCTAATTGCACAGCAGAGTAACTTAGCAGCAGCGACGTGACCCAGCACCAGTAGCGCACAGTGATAAAAGGAACAAAACACACCAATGTTTTTTCTTCCTTGGGAGGCTTTTCTTTGTAGTAAAATAATATATAACTATTTACAAGAACAATGTTTCCGTAACACAAATAAACGAACACATAGTAGCTTTACACACAGTGCCCTTCAAACTGGAGCTTTCTCACATGAGGCTTCTCTCACACTGAGGTTTACCTCACTCTCCTTAGGATGACACTAACAAATAGGCTTCAGCCTACTCATGCTCCTCAGAACAACATTAGCTTTGGCCTACTGACTCTTCGGCCTACTCACTCTCCTCAGGATGACACTAGCTTTGACCTACTGACTAACAGACTTTGGCCTACTCACTCTCCCCTGGACAACACTAGCTTCGGCCGACTAACTCTTAACAGACTTTGGCCTACTCATTCCCCTCAGGATGACACTAGCTTTGGCCCACTGACTGACAGACTTTGGCCTACTCACTCTCCTCAGAACAACACTAGATTTGGCCCACTGACTGACAGGCTTCAGCCTATTCACTCTCCTCAGAACAATATTAATTTTGGCCTACTGACTAACAGGCTTCGGCCTACTCACTCTCCTTAGGATGACACAAGCTTTGGCCCACTGACTCTGACAGGCTTCGGCCTACTCATTCTCAGGAAAATGCTAGCTTTGGCCGACTGACTTTAACAGGCTTTGACCTACTCACTCTCCTCAGGACAACACTAGCTTCACCCCGCTGATTCTTACCGGCTTCAGCCTACTCACTCCTCAGAACAACACTAGCTTTGGCCCACTGACTGACAGGCTTTGGCCTATTCACTCTCCTCAGAACGACACTAGCTTTGGCCTACTGACTAACAGGCTTCTGCCTACTCACTCTCAGGATGACACTAGCTTTTGCCTACTGACTCTGACAGGCTTAGGCCTACTCACTCTCCTCAGAACAACACTAGCTTTGGCCTACTGACTAACAGGCTTCGGCCTACTCACTCTCCTCAGGACAACACTAGTTTCGCCCACTGACTCTTACAGGCTTCGGCCTACTCACTCTCCTCAGAACGACACTAGCTTTGGCCTACTGACTGACAGGCTTTGGCCTACTCACTCTCCTCAGGATGACACTAGCTTTGGCCCACTAACTCTTAACAGGCTTCAGCCTACTCACTCTCCTCAGAACGATACAAACCTTGGCCCACTTACTCTAACAGGCTTCAGCCTACTCACTCTCCTCAGGATGAGACTAGCTTTGGCCCACTGACTATAACAGTCTTCGGCCTACTCACTCTCCTCAGGACGACACTAGCACCAAATTTACAATTGCCTAAAGTTGGCTTCATTTCACTAACTATTGTTAAAAATTGCATCTTGAGTATGTTCACATGATGTCATTTATCAAAAGCGTTGAACTAAAGAGTAGAGAGGAAGGAGGGAATCCTTCTTCGACCCAATCCAGTATGGCCGTGTTTCCTCATCTTTTCCTCCATTGTTTCCTCACAGACCTCTCCGAGATGGGGAGCTCTTTGAAATAATCATTCAGAAGATGGTGGACCGCTGGTCTGGTTCCATCGAAGCAGGTGAGGGAAGGAGGAAGGAAGGAGGGGAGGCCGAAACAGGCTCCTCTCGGAAGGAGTAACCCCTTTATGGTAGGCATGGGCAACTTCGGCTCTCCTCCAGGTGTTTTGGACTCCAACTCCCACAATTCCTAACAGCCGATAGGCTGTTAGGAATTGTGGGAGTTGAAGTCCAAAACACCTGGAGGGTCGAAGTTTGCCCACTCCTGCTTTATACCAACCCAACTAGGCAAGAAAACATTCTTTTACTAATTAGTCTTAATCATTCCTGCCAACCTGGTGTTTTTTACTCTCTTAATCCCCTCTCAGGTGTAACCGCCATCCGTCCCGACGACCTGGAGTTCCCCAACACGATGACGGATATTGATTACGACACATGGATGCTGAGGTAAATGGCTGAGGCTTGCCAAAGTAGAAAAAAACGAACACCTCCACCTGTACAGTCTTGCACAACAAACAATCCCTGCTGGAATTCTCCTAAATCATTTTCATTCAAGACTCGCACATTTCAGTCAGGCCTTCGACAAGGTCCTCATGACCTTCTGGCAAACAAACTAGTCCGATGTGGGCAAGGCAAAACTACGGTGAGGTGGATCTGTAATTGGTTAAGTGAACGAATCCAGAGGGTGATTGTCCCCAAGGCTTGCTCTTCTTCATCCTGGAAAGAAGTGACAAGTGGAGTGCCAGAAGCAAGGTTCCATCCTGGGACCAGTCCTGTTCAACATCTTTACTAATGACTTAAATCAGTGTTTCTCAACTGCAACTCCCAAATGTCGATGTCTATTTTCCCAAAACTCCACCAGTGTTCACATTTGGGCATATTGAGTATCTGTGCCAAGTTTAATCCAGACCTATGATTGTTTGCGTCCACAGTGCTCTCTGGATGTAGGTGAACTACAACTCCCAAACTCAAGGTCAATGCCCAGCAAACCCTTCCCGTATTTTCTGTTGGTCATGGGAGTTCTGTGTGCCAAGTTTGGTTCAATCCCATCGTTGGTGGAGTTCAGAATGATCTTTGAATGTAGGTGAACTATAAATCCTACCAACTATGACTTCCAAATGTCAAGTCTATTTTCTCCAAACTCCACCAGTGTTCACATTTGGACATATTGAATACTTGTACCAAGTTTGGTCCAGATCCATCATTGTTTGAGTCCACAGTTCTCGCTGGATGTAGGTGAACTACAACTCCAAAACTCAAGGTCATTGCCTACCAAAACCTTTGATTGTAGGTGAACTATAAATCCCTACAACTACAAAATCAATTCCCCTTCCCAACCCCACCAGTATTCAAATTTGGGCATATTGGATATTTGTGCCAAATAAAAGCTTCCAAAGAAGGAGCCTCCACCACACTCCAGGGCAGAGAGTTCCACTGCTGAACAGCTCTCACAGTCAGGAAGTTCTTCCTAATGTTCAGATGGAATCTCCTTTCTTGCAGTTTGACACAATTGTTCCGCGTTTCTGCATGAATAGGAGTTTAGTGTCTAGATCCAGGGAAATCATGCTACCCATGCTCTACTCTGCCTTGGTCATTCACACCTGGAATCACATTGAGTCCAATTCTGGGCACCACAATTTGAAGGGAGATGTTGACAAGCTGGAATGAGTCCAGAGGAGGGTGACTAAATGATCAAGGGTCTGGAGAACAAGCCCTATGAGGAGCGGCTGAAAGAGCTGGGCATGTTTAGCCTGAGGAAGAGAAGGCTGAGAGGAGACATGATGGCCATGTATAAATATGTGAGAGGAAACCACAGGGATGAGGGAGCAAGCTTGTTTTCTGCTGCCCTGGAGACTAGGATGCAATGGAACAGTGGCTTCAGATTACAAGAGAGGATATTCCACCTGAACATTAGGAAGATCTTCCTGACTGTTAGAGCTGTTCAGCAGTGGAACTCTCTGCCCTGGCGTGTGGTGGAGACTCATTCTTTGGAGGCTTTTAAGCAGAGGCTGGATGGTCATCTGTCAGGGGTGCTTTGAATGCGATTTCCCTGCGTCTTGGCAAGAATGGGGTTGGATTGGGTGGCCCACGAGGTCTCTTCCAACTCTATGATTCTATTATTCTGTTCTATGATTTTATTAAGGAAGAGCATCAGGTGAGAGTTAACCTGGCCTGAGTTAACCAGAGTCTGATACAGTATAAGCATAGCTTCTCCTATCACTCTACACGCTTATCTTTGGCTCTTTTGTTTGCTCCCAGTGGGACAGCCATCATGCAGGATGGGAACACCATGCGCAACAACTACGGCTGTGACTTGGATTCACTGACCACGGGGTCACGCATTGGCATGATGCGCACAGCCAAGGGCGACCTGCACTATTTCATCAACGGTGTCGACCAGGGAGTGGCCTGCTCTGGATTGCCTCCGGGGAAAGGTAAAGGCGGAAGCACAGAGATGGAATCCCTGGGAATGTGTAGCTGCTGCCATGAAGTCTGATCCTTTTATTTTGGACTTCCAAAATCCGCCACTCAGCGTAAACTGGCAGGTGGAAAGTTGAGAAAAATGCACTTTCCTGATTTCTACAGTTGACATAGGGCACTTATCACCTTCTTAGCTCTTGAGAATACATATTGTTCTCAAATATGTGCAGAGGGTAAACTAAGAATTTCCCAGAGTTTATGAAATTGCTGGATGGAATGGGGTCAGTCTCTTGGATCTTGGACCAACCCATTTGTTCTCTTCCTTTTCCCTGCTTCCCTTGGCCTGGCACAGAGGTCTATGCTGTGGTCGATCTGTACGGCCAGTGTGTCCAGGTGTCCATCACCAGTGCCACCGGACCCATGGACAACAGCCTGTCCACCAGTAACATCACGGAGAAGTCCTTTCCCATCCACTCGCCAGGTGAGAGAGAGGCCAAAATGTCAAAAATATTAAAAATTAACTAGATAGTTTTAATTACAAAAATGTGAGTCAAGCACTGAAAGGGTTAAGTGGATGCAACGACTCCGCAAAAGCTTCAGTTCGATATAAGCAGGTGTGCCTGTAACTTAGTATGCCTCCTTATGAGTAGGCCTCAGTGGGAGGAAGGCCTCAGTGTGAGAGAGCCCTCAGCGTAAGAGAGGCCTCAGCATGAGTTAGGCCTCGGTGTAAGGTAGGCCTCAGTGTGAGAAAGGCTTCAGTGTGAGGTAGGCCTCAGTGTTAGTCAGTCTCAGTGTGTTAGTAGGCCTCACTGTGAGAAGGACTCAGTGTTAGTTGCCCTCAGTATGAAGAGGCTTCAGTCTGAGAGAGAGGCCTTAGTGTGAGGTAAACCTCAGTGCTATAGTAGGCCTCAGTGTTAGGTAGGCATCAGAGTTAGTAGGCCTCAGTGTGAGAAGGACTCAGTGTAAGACGGTCTAAATGATTCTGAATCCCCTTCGAGGTGCAAGGGGCAGCATATAAATGTCGTAAATAAATAAGGTTCCAGCGTTAGAGAGGCCTCAGTGTAATTGGCCTCAGTATGAGAATGCCTCAGTGTTAGTTGCCCTCAGTATGAAGAGGCTTCAGTCTGAGAGAGAGGCCTTAGTGTGAGGTAAACCTCAGTGTTAATAGGCCTCAGTGTGAGGTAGGCATCAGAGTTAGTAGGCCTCAGTATGTGAGATGCCTGGTGTGTGAAGGCCTCTGTGTGAGGTAGGCCTCAGTATTCGAAAGTCTCGTGTGTTAAGCTCCAGTGTGAAGGTTGAACTTTGTTTATATCATTGTAAATAGTGCAACCATATTGTTTTGCTATAAAGAAAAGCCTCCTATGGAAGACATAACATTGGTCTGTGTGTTTTGTTCTTTTTATCACTTTGGGTTACTAGTGCTGGATCACACTGCTGCTAATAAGTTACTCTGCTGTGCATTTATGAGGAGGATCTTTTGTTAATAAGCCCACTTGCCCAACACAAACATATCAGGGTTTCTGACCTTGTGCAGAGTACTGGAAGCTACTTTTTTTAGTCCAGGCATGGGCCAACTTTGGCCCTCCCTCCAGGGGTTTTGGACTTCAACTCGCACAATTCCTAACAGCCGGTTGGGAGTTGAAGTCCAAAACCCCTGGAGCAAGGGCCAAAGTTGGCTCATGCCTAGTCTACAAGGCTACATGTTGCCAGCTATCAGCTGAACTACCCACAGTAATGGACCCATGGCTTTCCCTCTCCCCCTTTCTCTCCCCCCCCCCCCCAGTGCCCGGGGTGGCCCACCGCTTCCACAGCAGCTGTGGCAAGAATGTGGCTTTCCAGGATGACGGCTGCAAGGCTGTGCGGGTGAGCAGTTACTGCCACGGCATTGTCTTCAGCATGAAGGAGTTGAAGACGGACGAAATCTTTGAGGTAAGGGACACGGCAGCAGGAGAGAAGGGGGCAGGGATTTATTTATTTAGCAGTTTTCTATACCGGTCTTCTCACCTCCATCGAGGGACTCAGGCTGGTTTCCAATATCAATATTACAAACAATCATTAAAAACATCGTATTCCAAATTACTAAAACATTAAGAAACAAAATACAGTCAAATAATTACAATGGTCAGTCGTCATCATAAAATCATTGTGCGTCGACATCCACCCACATCACAAGAACTTGTCTCATTCTTCGAATGCCAGTTTCCAGAGCCAAGTTTTCACCTGTTTTCTGAATGTCAAGATAGAGGGGGCAGTTCTTATCTCCAGTGGAAGGGAGTTCCAGAGTTGAGGGGCCACCACCGAGAAGGCCCTGTCTCTTGTACCCACCAGACGCGCTTGTGAGGCCGGTGGGACTGAGAGCAGGGCCCCTCCAGACGATCTTAGCAATCTTGATGGTTCATAGGGAAGAATACGTTCGGACAGGTAAACCGGGCCGGAGTCGTTTAGGGCTTTATAGGTCAACACCAGCACTTTGAATTGTGCTCGGAAGCTAACTGGCAGCCAGTGGAGCTGGCGCAACAGAGGAGCTCCCTGTACTCCGCTCTTGTTAGCAGTCTGGCTGCCGCACGTTGGACTAGTTGAAGCTTCCGGGCAGTCTTCAGAGGCAACCCCACGTAGAGAGCGTTGCAGTAGTCTAAACGGGATGTAACCAAAGCGTGGACCACCGTGGCCAAGTCAAACTTCCCAAGGTACGGGCGCAGCTGGCGCACAAGTTTTAATTGTGCAAAAGCTCCCCTGACCACCGCCGAAACCTGGGGCTCCAGGCTCAGCGATGAGTCCAGGATCACTCCCAAGCTGCGAACCTGTGGGGGAGTGTAACCCCATCAAGCACAGGATTCTGCACCAGGGGTCATTAATAAAATAAAATGTCAACATAACTTAAATCCTATTGCTAAGTTCCATTTACTTATTTATTTCAGTTGGCACTTCGCTACAAGTTAAAGCAAAAGTACAGCTGACAACCTTTATTTTACAAAAGCTTAGAAGAAATCAAGCAGTCATGTCGAAAAGGCACTTAGGGCCCTTCTACACTGCCATATAATCTAAATTGTCAAAGCAAATAACCCACATTATCCGGTTTGAACTGGATTATATGAGTCTACACTGGTTTTTATATGGCAGTGTAGAAAGGGCCTAAATTGTTAATTGCCATGGATGTCGAGTTATGTCAATGTTATTAATATTTATTTATTCATCGTTTCAGAAGCAAGTTGAGGGCACAGTAAAAATGCATTAAAAAATAAACAAAGTTCAAAAAAGAACTTGGCATGATGCTAAATGTCCTTTGACCGGAAGCTGGCCACTTGGAGTGCCTCTGGTGTCGCTGTGAGAAGGTCCTCCATTATGCATGTGGCAGGGTGCAGGCTGCATTGTTGCAAGTGATCTGTGGTTTGCTCTTCTTCACACTCACATGTTGTGGCGTAGGGCGTAAACATCCTAAGATAATGCGTCATGTCTCATTAAGAGCCACATCCATGTTTTAACGTGGTGAGATGTGTTCCATACTGGACTTGTGTACTCAGCAGCAGAGTAGCAAAGCGCAAGGGTAGATGTCTTTATCTATTGTTTCATCTGCGTCCTTGCAGAGTCTACATTTGGGATCTGTCGTCTTTTTTATTATTATTATTATTATTATTATTATTATTATTATTATTATTATTATTATTTCTAGGTTAAGATAGACGAACTGGACGAGAAGTGGTCCGGCTCGGTCCACGTGGGCCTGACCACGCTGCTCCCACTGGACGCCCCCTACACGGTCACGGGCCTCCCACCCTCCATCCTGGAGCTGCGTTCCAAAGTGACCTGGCTGATGACGGGCTCCGAGGTGCGGCGGAACGGGATCCTGCAGAAGCAGAACTACGGATGCTCCCTGGAACGCCTTGGGGTGAGTCCGGCAGACTGGCTGTTAGGAATTGTGGGAATTGAAGTCCAATACACCAAGAGGGCCAAAGTTTGCCCATGCCTGGTTTAAACTGTTGGTATTAATGTTATGTGTGTTCAGCCATGGGTTTTTTAGATACATGTTCTGGAAGTGCGGGGTGAACATTAACAAACAGCAGTGAGTTAAGCGTGTTCTCTTGTGTCTGGCCAGGTGGGGAGCCGGGTGGGAGTGAAGCGCTGTACCGACGACACCATGCACATCCTGATCGACGGAGAGGACATGGGGCCGGCTGCAACTGGTGTGGCCAAGGTGGGGCTCTTTATGCGCATGTGTCCGCTTGAACAACACTCAAAAATATAGAGCAGTTACAGATCAATGGGACTTAGCTAAATTCCACTCAAAACTTGGTTWCTAGAAATAGTTTGGACCCCATACCTTAAGTATTTGTATTTATCACTAGCATATTTATCTGGTTTTGCCCAGGTGTCAAAAGGATCGCTGCTTGTTTTTGTCCTCCCCCCCCCCTTTCTTTCCCCTTTTCTTTCTCTTCCTTAATTCCCTCTTTTTTCCCTCCCTCCTCCTTCCCTTCCCTTCTTTTTTCTCTTTCTTTCCTTCCACTCCCCTTTCTCCAGCTCTGAGAGGCGCCGCCTCGCAATGTCTGCATGTCAACGTGGCTCTTTTTGTGGCTCTGTTCTTCTTTCATGCCGCCTTTTCCCCCTGTGACATCACAAAGGGCCACTACATCTCGCAACAACTTTTGTCGTACAGACAGACATGCAGACATACTTTGACTTATAGAAAGAGAGATTCTAGAAGACTGATTTCTAATGTCCATTTTTTAGAGTAGAAAAAAAGGCTTTGAAAGGGTGAACAAGAGATTTTCCCCCAGTGTTTTTTTTTTTTTCATTTCCCCCAAATTTCCAAATCCCAGATTGTATTGTAAAAATGGGGCTAAGGAAATAAGAACCCGTCATGTATTGTCGAAGGCTTTCATGGACGAAATCACTGGGTTGTTGTAGGTTTTTCGGGCTATATGCCCATGTTCTGGAAGCATTCTCCCTGACGTTTTCGCCTGCATCTATGGCAGGCATTCTCAGAGGTTGTGAGGTCTGTTGTGAGGTCACAACCTCTGAGGATGCCTGCCATAGATGGAGGCAAAACGTCAGGAGAGAATGCTTCTAGAACATGGCCATATAACTCAAAAAACCTACAACAATCAAAAACCTGTAACATGGGGAAAGTCATTGTTTTAAATATAGAGTGAGGGATTTAAAATGTGTGTTGTATTACTGTTATTGTTATTGCTTTTTTGTTTATGAGTTTTATTTTAATTGTTTATTGTTGTTATTCCTTGTATTGATGTATTGTGGGCTCAGCCTCATGTAAGCTGCACCGAGTGCCTTGGGAGATGTTAGCGGGGTACAAATAAAGATTTATTTTATTATTATTATTATTATTATTATTGTTATTGTTATTATTAATATTTGAGGAAGTGTAAAAAAAAGAGCTTTTCTAAGGACCATTGTTCCAAGGATGAGGGGCATTCTTCATCTTCTCCTCTGTCCTCCAATGTCTCTTTTCTGCCTCTCTTCAGAATGTCTATGTGGTTTTGGATCTCTATGGCCGGGTCACATCCGTCTCCATTGTCAGCTCGACGGCCCTGGAAGAGGCGGACGGCACCAAGCCCCCCTCGGTGACCTCGGAACCCTACAGCGAGGAAGAGGAGGAGGAAGAGGCCGTCCCGGTGGGTGCTTGGAAGCAGGCGGTCCCCCGTTTTGCCTGACTGACCGTCTTTGTATTGTCTCTCTTTATGCTTCGCACTCACAATCCATGTATAGAATCATAAATGTGGAAGGAGACCCCAACCCCCTTCTGCCAGGCAAGAAAACACAATCAAAACCGTCCTGACAGATGGCCATCCTGAAATAATATCCAGTTTTTGGACACGGCAAGGCGGATTGGTGCAAATCAGTTATAAGAATAGGGCAGATGGATAAAGTGCATAATATTAGGGATAGAGGGCAGTATAAAGTAGAGCATTATATCTTTGGGTTTTATTTATCACTAGCTTGGGGACCCGGCGGTGCCCGGGTTATTTGAGAAAGACATTCTTTACCTGTGCTCCAAGTTCAGTCTAGATCCAATGTCAGCTGGGTTCAGTAAGTGAGGGTGAACTACAACTCCTATATGCAAGTACCATCATCTATGGTCCATCCTCCTCCAAACTGCACCAGGATGTAGAGTGGGTCATGGGGGCTCTGTGTATCAAGCTTGGCTTGATCAACCATTGGTGTGGGTCGCAGTGGTCTCAGGAAGTGAGTGTCACAGTGCTGTGAGGAGTGAACTACAACTTCCACTCTGTGGAGTCAGTCCCCCAAACTCCTACAGAATGTTCAGTTGCTGATCAATTCCTCTGTTTGATGTGTGCCATAGAAAAAGGTTAAGGAAGAGGCAGTGGGTGGGGTTATGTAAATGAGAGGGAAAGGAACCCTGGGAGGTGTCTTTGGTGGAGGAAAAACAGAAAATCTAGGCTGAAATGGTCCCCGCATGAAAGCCTTCACTTGGGTAGTGGGCAGGATGGCATTTGTGGAGGACATTGGCAGGGCTCTTGGACATGTTCATGGTAACCTGCAATGTCATGGTGCCCAGAACAGGACACAGGGTTCTGTTGTTCTTGTTGTTGTTGTTGTTATTCCAGGTGAGATCTGACCAGTGTAACTTTCCCCTTCTGCCTCAGGCTGAAAACGAAACACCAGCAGTGACCTCCTCCATGGAGTTCCTTGAAAACCATGGGAAGAACATCCTCCTCTCCAATGGCAACCTGACAGCCGCCCGCGTCTCGAGCTATAACCAGGGGATCGTAGTGGTGGCCCAGCCTCTCCCTCAGCAGCAGCTTTTCCAGGTGAGCAGTAAGCCTCATCCCATTTGGGGAGGCTGTTAGGAATTGTGGGAGTCCAAAACACCTGGAGGGAGGGCCAAAGTTTGCCCATGCCTGAGCTAATGTTAATGTTTTTAAATGTTTTATGGTGTCTTATTGTTCTTGTTGTGGTTTTATATTATACTAGCCATTCCCTGCCACACATTGCTGTGGCCCAGTCTGGTGATCTGGAAAATAAAGTAATGAGAAGGTGTTGGTTTGTAATATTTATTTATTTATCTATCTATTTATAGCTTTTATAACCCGGTCTTCTCGACCTCCGAAGAGGGACTCAGGCCGGTTCACAACAAAAGATTCATAAACAATAGTATAAAAACATCACACCTCATAATACACTAATATATCTAATTTATGCTTGTGGGTAAACAGTATTTCTTGTTGTTTCTTTGTCAGTGTTGATGTGGAGAGTGTCTGGTTTGCCTACTCTGGAACATGCAACATATAATTGTCCTTCTTTAGGGGTCCCTTTCAAATCTATGAAACTATATCTGTGTGTGTGTGAATCATATATATCCATTTATAGATATGTCTAGGTGGCTGTTAGGCTGTTAGGAATTGTGGGAGTTGGAGTCCAAAACATCTGGAGGGCCCAAGTTGGCCCATGCTTGCTCTGTGGTATTCAACGATCTTTGCATATAAATGAACAAGTTTCAATAATAAGCAAAGTTATAGATATGATTTGAGGGTGGATGGAGGGACTGTCCAAAGGGAACAGCACCTTCCTCCTGTATTAAGTCTGTGCAGGATGAATGGCTGTGAGTCTCTTTCCCCTGTTGGGTAGCCGAAACGCTCTTCGCTCAAACGGGGCACCTTCTGTCTCCCAGTTCCAGATAGACTCCCTGAATCCGCAGTGGACCTCCTCGCTCTCTTTGGGCGTCATCGGCAGCAACCCCGAGCGGCTCAACTTCCCGGCCACGGCCTGCTCCCTCAAGCGCTCCACCTGGCTGCTGCAGCGGGACTCGGTTTTTCACAACTCCCTCAAGGTGAGGAAAGGCGGGGAGGGCAGGGTGTTGGTTTGAGAAGCGGGACCCAGTGTCTCCTGCCTTGCCAAGACTTCTATTGCTGTCCCTGGATCCCCTGAAATATTTCTGGTCTTTCAATACATTGCACCCTATTTACCTGTTTCTCCACTTGCTGACCACTGTAGGCTATATATTTATGGATGTTATTATTATGTCCTGGCATATATACTTGCTGTGCAGCCTGTCAAGAGGGGCCACTTCCCATCTGCTTTACCCTTTCTCCAACTTTGAGAAGGTGTACCTACATGTCAAGCTCTCTTTGTGGCTTTTTCTTTCCTTCCTCCATTTCAGTTATACTCTTTCTCCCTCTCCTTTTCTTTCATTGCTTTTTCCTTCCCTTGCTTTCCCTCATATACCTTCACCCCTCTTCTGTCAGCTATCGATTTATCTATCTCTCTATCTATCTATCTATCTATCTATCTATCTATCTCTGTTTTTAGATGTGTGTGTGTGTTTAGCGATGTTGTAATTCGCTTTGAGCCCCGAGGATGTTATTATCTATCTATCTATCTATCTATCTATCTATCTATCTATCTATCTATCCATTTATTTATCTAGGGATTGGACTGGATGGCCTTTTGGGTCCCTTCTAACTCTAGGACTCTTCCCTTTTCTTCCTTCCTTTCTCTTCCCTTCTTTTTCTGTCTTCCCTTCACCACTCCGTTTCCCCCTTCCTGTCCTTTCTCTTCCCTCCTTTTCCTTTCTTTCCTCCCCTCCTTACTTTCCCCCATTCATTTCCCTTCCTTCCCTCCTTTTTCTTTCTTTTCCTATCCCTTCAGATTTCCTTTATTTCCTTTCTTTTTCTGTTTCTTTCTTTCCTTCTCTTCTCTCTTCCCATCATATATGTCATCACCTTTCTTTTCCAGTGACATCCTGGAAGGGGAGGAGGAAAGAAAGGAAAAGGAGGGAAGAGAAAGGACAGGAAGGGGGAAAAGGAGGGATGATGGGAAGAGAGAAAAAGAAGGGAAGAGAAAGGAAGGAAGAGAAGGGGTCCTAGAGTTAGAAGGGACCCCAAAAGGCCATCCAGTCCAATCCATAGATAGATAGATAGATAGATAGATAGATAGATAGATAGATAGATAGATAGATAGATAGGGAATAACATCCTCGTGGCTCAAGGCAAATTACAACATCGCTAAAACACCACATCTAAAAACAGAGGAATGCTAGTGACACCCTTTGTAGTACTAACAGAGATACATACTAAAACTTTTAGATAGATAGGTAGATAGGTAGATGGGTAGATGGATGGATAGATCATAGTTCTCCATCATGGTCCCTGTGAAATCACATATATGGTATTTCCTGCGTTTGCGCAGTCAGTTCGGAATCTTCTAGAAAACTTTTTAGACACTTTTAGGCAGTAGCCCCGCCCACTCTCCCCATAGAGTATATAGCCAGTGGGAGGGGCTACTGCTTCAGTTCCTTTTGTCCGTCGCCATTGCAACAGCTAAGGAATATTTCTCTCGTTTTTGACTAGTGTTTGTGGACTACATGAATTTCTTTGCTTCAATTTTTATTGTTTTCATTTTAAATTTATTTTTATTTTATTATTGTTATTACCTTAATTTTTTCATGGTTATAGTATGTTGACCCCCGCTTTCTTTCCAAGTGTCCCTGTCGTGAGGGGAAAAGCTACCCGATGTTGGGTGCACTGTGTCTGTGGTGCCTGGGGAGAGGCCTTGGGGGTATGATTGTGCACTCTCTGCCCCTTTTTTCCACTTTTTTCAATTTAGTTGACATCCTCTGGAGTCATGGGTTTTAGAATTTGGGGAAGCACAAGAGCTTACTAGCCAAGAATTCTGGATACTTTTCCAGCTGCAAAAATATTATTATAAGCCAGGCAAGGGCAAACTTGGGCGCTCCAGGTGTTTTGGACTTCAACTCCCTCAATTCCTAACAGCCGGGAGGCGGAATTGAAGTCCAGAACACCTGGAGGGCCCAAGTTTGCCCATGTTTGGTTTAGAAGGCCACAGTTTGAGGATGCCTGGCTTAGACTTGCAGAAGATCGCACTTTGGTAATGCAATGATATCTGTCTTTCTCTCCGGGCTCCAGGTCTGTGAGAACTACGGCCCCAACCTGGACACTTGCCCTGAAGGGACGGTTCTGGGCCTCCTGGTAGATGCCAGCAACTGCCTCCACCTCTTCGTCAATGGGATGGACCAAGGGGTGGCCGCGCAGGACATCCCCAGCCCCTGCTACGTCCTCATCGACCTTTATGGGCAGTGCGAACAGGTGAGCTTTGAGAAGAGCGAAGGGAAGCACAGGAAGACCCTGCTGTGGGGTAGATAGGGAGATACAAGTGGTGGCCAGTCATCATTAAGGGAGGCAGTGAGGCTAATTCTACAGCCAGAGAGCTAAGGTGGCTTTTCCAGATGGAGTGTTGCACTCCAAGGCTGGGAACCACCTCTGTAAATAACACACACTCTGGTCCAAGGTAAAATAGTAAAGCAGTTTATTGAAGAATATATATGAAAAACAATTCAGCAAAATAGTATAAAAAAACCCAAAGTCCAAATCTATATAAATAAAAATGTAATGTTCGTTTGTGGGATTAACACAGGCATCCTCAAACTGTGGCCCTCCAGCTGTTTTGGCCTCCAACTCCCAGAAGCCCTTGCCAGCTTGTTCAATGGCCAGGAATTCTGGGAGTTGGAGGCCAACAGCTGGAGGGCGCAGTTTGAGGATGCCTGGATTAACATAACTCAAAAACCACAGGACAAATTGACCCAAATTTGGACACAATGACACCTCTCAGGCCAACGAGTGACGATAAATCATAAAAACGCTGAAAAACACAGCGGAAGGGACTTAAAAAGCCAAAAAAGCAAAAAGATGCTGTAGCGCATGTGCAAAACTGACTCCCCTGGCAAACAAAGCACACAATAGGGTTGTTGTAGGGTTTTTTTGGGCTATATGGCCATGTTCTAGAGGCATTTTTTCCTGACGTTTCGCCTGCATCTATGGCAAGCATCCTCAGAGGTAGTGAGGATCCTTGCCATAGATGCAGGCGAAACATCAGGAGAAAATGCCTCTAGAACATGGCCATATAGCCCGAAAAAAACCTACAACAACCCAGTGATTCCGGCCATAAAAGCCTTCGACAAAGCACACAATAGTATATCCACACTCTCTTCTGGACTACAGCTCCCAGTATCCCCTCGACCTGGCCCTTTAGGAGAGGAGGATGATCCAAATGCACAGCTTCCAAGATGCAAGCTTTCTTCTCCTTCCATTTCTTTGAGAGCATCCCAATCCCTGCTTATTTCCTGGACTGCAACTCCCAACAATCCTCCAGATAGATAGATTAGATAGAGATAGATAGGTAGATAGATAGATCAATCAATCAGGAGGACTGCTGGGAGTTGCAGTCCAAGAATAGGTAGAGAAGGAAGAAAGGGGAGAAAGGGGAAGGGAAAGAAGGGGGGGGGGAAGGGTAGTGGAAGAGAAGGAAGCTGAGGAAGAAAGAAAAAAAGGGAAGGAAAGACGGAAGGAAGGAAGGAGAGAAAGAGGGAGGGGTTGGCCACAGCAACGCGTGGCGGGTACCGCTAGTATCAAGAATAATCCACAGAAATCACAATACAGGAGTAACATCAAAAACCAGGAATATGAAAGCAGAATAAATTAAAAAACCTGAGATTCAGGAAAGATACAGAATGGGGGACAATGCCTGGCTTGAGAGCAGTACGTGTGAAAAAGATCTTGGAGTCCTCATGGACAACAAGTTAAACATGAGCCAACAATGTGATGTAGTGGCAAAAAAGCCAATGGGATTTTGGCCTGCATCAAGAGGAGCCTAGTGTCCAGATCTAGGGAAGTCATGCTCCTCATGCTCTATTCCGCTTTGGTAAGGCCACACCTGGAATATTTTGTCCAATTCTGGGCACCACAATTCAAGAGAGATATTGACAAGCTGGAATGTGTCCAGAGGAGGGTGACTAAAATGATCAAGGGTCTGGAGAACAAGCCCTATGAGGAGCAGCTTAAGGAGCTGGGCATGTTTATCCTGAAGAAGAGAAGGCTGAGAGGAGACATGATGAGAGCCATGTATCAATATGTGAGAGGAAGCCACAGGGAGGAGGGAGCAAGCTTGTTTTCTGCTTCTCTGGAGACTAGGACGCAAAACAAACTAGGCTTCAAACTACAAGAAAGGAGATTCCATCTGACCATAAGGAAGAACTTCCTGACTGTGAGAGCCGTTCAGCAGTGGAACTCTCTGCCCCGGAGTGTGGTGGAGGCTCCTTCTTTGGAAGCTTTTAAACAGAGGCTGGATGGCCATCTGTCAGGGGTGATTTGAATGCAATATTCCTGCTTCTTGGCAGAATGGGATTGGACTGGATGGCCCAAGGTCTCTTCCAACTCTTTGATTCTATGATTCTATGAACAGCCCTCAAAACTTGGAATAATGAGACACAAACAAAAGGAAACATGGAACATGAAACTAGAAATCCCTTGACTTGACAGTAGTTCTATTCTCAAACACCAATGTTACCTGGACTAAAGGATCCATCTGCTGGGCTAGGTAATATAGAGAGAAGATCATGCCTTCTCCCCTAGGAAACTGATATGGACTTCTTGGCTAATAGGTGTTTGGGCCTTCGTAAACTTTCCAGACGGTCAACACCGAAATCAGATTGACTACATCCTTTGCAGCCAAAGGTGGCGGACATCCATCCAGTCGGTGGAAAACAAGACCTGGGGCTGACTGTAGCTCAGATCACGAACTTCTTATTGCCCAATTTAGAATAAAACTAAAGAGATCAGGGAAAATACACAGACCAGTTAGATATGATCTCACTAACATTCCTAGCGAATATACAGTGGAAGTGAAGAACAGATTTGAAGGATTAGATTTAGTAAACAGAGTCCCAGAAGAACTATGGACAGAAGTCCGAGACATTGTTCAGGAGGCGGCAACAAAGTACGTCCCAAAGAAAAAGAAAACCAAGAAGGCAAAATGGTTGTCTGCTGAGACACTGGAAGTAGTCCAAGAAAGGAGGAAAGCAAAAGGAAACAGTGATAAGGGGAGATATGCCCAGTTAAATGCGCAATTCCAGAGGTTAGCCAGAAGAGATAAGGAACTATTTTTAAATAAGCAATGCATGGAAGTGGAGGAAGACAACAGAATAGGAAGGACAAGAGACCTCTTCCAGAAAATTAGAAACATTGGAAGTAAATTTCAGGCAAAAATTGGTATGATAAGAAACAAAGATGGCAGGGACCTAACAGAAGCTGAAGAGATCAAGAGAAGGTGGCGAGACTATACAGAAGATCTGTATAGGAAGGATAATAATATTGAGGATAGTTTTGATGGTGTGATGAATGAATTAGAACCAGACATCCTGAGGAGTGAGGTTGAATGGGCCTTAAGAAGCATTGCTAACAACAAGGCAGAAGGAGATGACGGGATCCCAGCTGAACTGTTTAAAATCTTAAAAGATGATGCTGTAAAGGTGATGCATGCCATATGCCAGCAAATATGGAAAACACAAGAATGGCCATCAGACTGGAAAAAATCAACTTATATCCCCATACCAAAAAAGGGAAATGCGAAAGACTGCTCAAACTTCCGTACAGTGGCCCTTATTTCTCATGCCAGTAAGGTAATGCTCAAGATCCTGCAAGGAAGACTCCAGCAAGACATGGAGCGAGAGTTGCCAGATGTTCAAGCTGGGTTTAGAAAAGGCAGAGGAACGAGAGACCAGATTGCCAATATCCGCTGGATAATGGAGAAAGGCAGGGAGTTTCAGAAAAACATCTACTTCTGCTTCATTGACTATTATAAAGCCTTTGACTGTGTGGATCATAATAAATTGTGGCAAGTTCTTAGTGGGATGGGCATCCCAAGCCACCTTGTCTCTCTCCTGAGGAATCTGTACAAGGACCAAGTAGCAACAGTCAGAACTGACCATGGAACAACAGACTGGTTCAAGATTGGGAAAGGCGTACGGCAAGGCTGCATCCTCTCACCCAACCTTTTTAACTTGTATGCAGAACACATCATGCGAGGATGTGCGGGGCTTGAGGAATGCAAAGCTGGGGTGAAAATTGCTGGAAGAAACATTAACAACCTCAGATATGCAGATGACACCACTCTGATGGCCGAAAGCAGGAGGAGCTGAGGAGCCTTCTAATCAAGGTGAAAGAAGAAAGCGCAAAAGCTGGGTTGCAGCTAAACATCAAAAAAACCAAGATTATGGCAACAAGAATGATTGACAACTGGGAAATAGAGGGAGAAAACGTGGAGGCCGTGACAGACTTTGTATTTCTAGGTGCAAAGATTACTGCAGATGCAGACTGGCCAGGAAATCAGAAGACGCTTACTTCTTGGGAGGAGAGCAATGTCAAATCTCGATAAAATAGTAAAGAGTAGAGACATCACACTGGCAACAAAGATCCGCCTAGTCAAAGCCATGGTATTCCCTGTAGTAACCTACGGATGTGAGAGCTGGACCTTAGGGAAGGCTGAGCGAAGGGAGATCGATGCTTTTGAGCTGTGGTGTTGGAGGAAAGTTCTGAGAGTGCCTTGGACTGCGAGAAGATCCAACCAGTCCATCCTCCAGGAAATAAAGCCCGACTGCTCACTGGAGGGAAAGATACTAGAGACAAAGTTGAAGTACTTTGGCCACATCATGAGGAGACAGCAAAGCCTAGAGAAGACAATTATGCTGGGGAAAGTGTAAGGCAAAAGGAAGAGGGGCCGACCAAGGGCAAGATGGATGGATGGCATCCTTGAAGTGACTGGACTGACCTTGAAGGAGCTGGGGGTGGTGACGGCCGACAGGGAGCTCTGGCGTGGGCTGGTCCATGAGGTCACGAAGAGTCGGAGACGACTGAACGAATGAACAAAAACAACAAAACTTTCCTGAGAAGCTCTACGTTGATGGAACTTAAATTTCCTATCTAACTGTTCAGTAATCTGTCTACCTGGACTTGCAGTGTCCTCCTCTGAACTCCAACCTGCTTCTGAACTTTGCTTCCTTAGTGAACTGCCTTTCAGGAATGTGGCCTTCAGACACAGACCACTCATTTTCAGGGCTCAAAATCTGTTGCTGGCTCTCCTGCTGACTTGTAGACCCAGAATCCCCAGTGTCATCAAAATGACTAACTGGTCCAGAATCCCCAGAGAGATCAGGTGCAGGCATGATCAAAGACTGAACTACAAAAAGCGATTCCACCTGAACATTAGATTCTGTTGCCTGGGAGTCCAAGGAGCTCATCTTCTGTGGAGGTTTTCAAGCAGAAGCTGGAAGGCCATCTGTCGAGAATGTTTCAGTTGTGTCTTCCTACATGACAGGAGATAGGATGGCCCTTGGGGGTCTCTACCATGATTCTCTGTCTACTCTAGATCAGGCATGAGCAAACTTTGGCCCTCCAGGTGTTTTGGACTTCAACTCCCACAATTCCTAACAGCCTACCGGCTGTTAGGAATTGTGGGAGTTGAAGTGCAACAACATCTGGAGCGGACTATATTGACCATGTTCTAGAGCAGGGGTAGGGAACCTTTGGCCCTCCAGATGTGGTGGACTTCAACTCCCACAATTCCTTGAGGCTCGGCATTCGCCCCAAAGGCTTACCTTGGCACACGAGCCTCAAGGAATTGTGGGAGTTGAAGTCCAACACAGCTGGAGGGCCAAAGGTTCCCTACTCCTGCTCTAGTTGATGGTTTGCACATAGAGATTTCCGTTTGCCGGTAACATCCAGGGCTTCCCTCCTGATCCTCCAGGTTTGATACCTTTCTTAACCCATTGTCCCCTTCTCCATTAGGTTACCATCGTCACCAACGACACTCCTGCGGTGGGGGCCGAGGGAGCTGACCCCCATGGACAGGGAGACATGGAGAAGGCCGACATGGTGGACGGTGAGTCTCCCAGGGTTCTTCTGTCTGGCTCTGGGATATTTTTTCTTTAATGCCTAGACTTCCCTTTCTCTCTCTTCAGTCTTGAAAAGTTTTATTTTAGGCCCAAAACATATTCCTCAGTTTCATTGCCAACTTTCAAATTATATTTTTTTGGGTTGTTGGGATATTTTTTGGGATATTGTTTTGCACTGAATTTGTCAAACTGGAAGTAATTTGCTCTGAGGCTGATTTATGTGTGTTTTTATCAGTTTGTGGTATCCAGAGAACACTCTTTTAGCATATTTCAGTGGAATTGATTTTTTGGGGGTCCAAACCTGCCCCATTCCTGTCATCAGTTGGGGGCCCTTCCCCCTAACACCAACCGCTGCTCTGGGATCAGAGTGAAGAGAGGGAGTCAGGAAAACATTTTCACCTTGTCTCCTACACTGTGCTTATAATATAATATAATGTAATGTATATACATATAATTGATGCAATGACATGATTTAGAATTGATGTTTCAGGTGGGTGGGGGGAATGGGGGGAGGGGTGGTTTGTTGGGCTATACATAACTAAGGAATGTATAGAATGTCATTTAAGGAATATTTACTTTTGGAATAATGTATATTGAAATAAGTCCTGTATGGCAAAATTTTGTTGATTGTTGGGATGTAGCAAATAAATAAATTAAAAAATATATTATAATGTAATACAATGAAATACTAATAATAATATGATATTATAATTATATATTTTATATTGCATGTGATATCACTAATAATATTACAGTATAATGGTATAGTACAATATAGTAATATATAATATTAATAATATAATATATTGTAGGTACATATTACTTGTAAGCTGCTCTGAGTTCCCTTCTGGAAGCTTTTTAAACAGAGGCTGGATGGCCATCTGTCAGGGATTATTTGAATGCAATATTCCTGCTTCTTGGCAGGGGACCGGATGGCCCATGAGATCTCTTCCAACTCTATGATTCTGTGTGATTCGATACAAAAGCCAGCACAGTGATCTTGTTTGCTGTGTACTAATCTTGTTAGTATCGAATCCCTTGGGAGATGCTAGCGGGGTACAAATAAAGTAATAATAATAATAATAATAATAATAATAATATAATGTATCTAATAATAATAATAATCCCAGTGGTGATCGGCACACTGGGTGCAGTGCCTGAAGACCTTGGCCTGCACTTAAACACAATCAGCACTGACAAAATTACCATCTGCCAGCTGCAAAAGGCTACCCTACTCGGATGTGCACGTATTATTCGCCGATACATCACATAGTCCTAGACACTTGGAAAGTGTCCGACGTGTGATCCAATACAACAGCCAGCAGAGAGTATTTGTTATTGTTTATTTGTTCAGTTGCTTCTGACTCTTCATAGCCTCATGGACCAGCCCATGCCAGCTCCTTCCAGGTCAAGCTAGTCACTTCAGATAACATCCATCCACTTTCCCCTTGGTCAGGAGGAGACATGATAGCTATGTGAGGGGAAGCCACAGGGAGGAGGGAGCAAGCTTGTTTTCTGCTTCCCTGGAGACTAGGACGCGGAACAATGGCTTCAAACTACAAGAGAGGAGATTCCATCTGAACATGATGAAGAACTTCCTGACTGTGAGAGCCGTTCAGCAGTGGAACTCTCTGCCCCGGAGTGTGGTGGAGGCTCCTTCTTTGGAAGCTTTTAAACAGAGGCTGGATGGCCATCTGTCAGGGGTGATTTGAATGCAATATTCCTGCTTCTTGGCAGAATGGGGTTGGACTGGATGCCCAGAGGTCTCTTCCAACTCTTTGATTCTATGATACAAATGTTGTAAATAAATAAATAAATTTATTTATTTAAGATATTTATATGCTGTCCTTCTCACCCTGAAGGGTACTCAGAGCGGCTTACAAGAAAAAAGTAAATACAATATACTATATTTTTACCATAACACAATATTAATATTATATATTGCATTGTACTATAACATTATACTGTGATATTAGTAATATTACATTTAATATAAAATATATAATTATAACTAGCTGCCTCCTGCCACGCGTTGCTGTGGCCCAGTCTGTTGATCTGGCAAATAAAGGGAATGAGAAAGTTTTGGTTTCTAATATATGTAATGTCTTTATGCTTGTGGGTAAACTATTTCTTGCTGGGTTGTTGTAGGTTTTTCTGGGCTATATTTTTTGTTGTTTCTTTGTCAGTGTTGATGTGGAGAGTGTCTGGTTTGCCTACTCTGGAACATGCAACATATCATTGTCCTTCTTTAGGGGTCTCTTTCAAATCTATGATACTATATCTCTCTCTGTGTGAATCATATCTATCTATCTATCGATCTATCTATCTATCTATCTATCTATCTCTATCTATCTATCTATCTATGGCTGGATGGCTCTTTGTCAGGAGGGCTTTGTTTACGTTTTCTTGCCCTGATGTGGGAGTTGGATTGGATGGCCTTAAGTATTTTCTGTTGGTCATGGGGGTTCTGTGTGGGAAGTTTCCCCCGATTCTGTCATTTGTGGGGTTCAAAATGCCCTTTGATTGCAGGTGAACTATAAATCCCGGTAACTACAAATTCCAAATGTCAAGGTCTATTTCCCCCAAACTCCATCTGTGTTCATATTTGGGCGTATTGAGTGCTTGTGCCAAGTTTGGTCCAGATCCATCATTGTTTGAGTCCAAAGTGCTCTCTGGATGTGGGTGAACTACAACTCCCAGACTCAAGGTCAATGCCCACCACACCCTTCTAGTGTTGTCTGTTGGTCATGGGAGTTCTGTGTGCCATGTTTGTTTCAATTCCATCGTTGGTGGAGTTCAGAATGCTCTTTGATTATAGTTGAACTATAAATCCCAGGAACTACAACTCCCAAATGACAAAATCATAATTTTTTGAGTGATGGTCACTCCTTGTGTTGTGAGACATTTTGTTGCCAAATTTGGTGTGATTTCGTTCATTGGTTCTTTTGTTTTTAAGGAACTCATTATGCATAGAGCATTTATATATAGATAGATATCATATTATTATTACTAGTATTATATTGTATTACATTATAATATTATACATATTATATTATATTATATTATATCATAAGCACAGTGCAGGAGACAAGATGGAACTGCCTTCCTGGCCCCTCTCTTCACTCTGATCTCATTGATAATATTATAATGTAATACAATGTAATACTACTACTACTAATACAATATTATAATTATATATTTTATATTACATGTAATATTGCTAATAATATTACAGTATAATGGTATAATATACAATAGTAATATATAATACTAATAATGTACTATGGTAGTAATATAATACATTGTTTTTACATATTACTTGTAAGCCGCTCTGAGTCCCTTTCGGGGTGAGAAAGGCTGCATATAAATGTTGTAAATACATAAATAAATTCCTTTGCCCCAAGTTTTGTCCTCTTCCCATTGCAAACACTGCTTTTTTCCATCCCAGGGATCAAGGAGAGCGTATGTTGGACTCCCCCAGTGGACCTGAACACCACCAAGACCTGCGAATACCATGCACTCTGCGCACGCTTCAAGGATCTCCTCCTCCTCCCAGGTGGGAATGATGTTTGGGGCCAAAGCAAACCACAACTGCAAGATTGGGTCATGTTTCTCTAGCCTGCATTGGCTGCTTATGAGGAGGTGCTACAGCAGGCATGGGCAAACTTCAGCCCTCAGGGTGTTTTGGACTTTAACGTCCAGAATTTTTAGTTGTTAAGAATTGTGGGAGTTGAAGTCCAAAACGCCAGAAGGGACAAAGTTGGTCATGCCTGCGTTATATCATTTCTCTCCTTCTCTGCAGATGATTATTTTGCCGAGGACCCCAAGTTCAGCCTCTGCTACTGTGAGTCTTGCCACAAACTCCGAGGGGATGAACCCTACTACAAACGAGGAGAGCCACCCCGGGATTACGCCTTGCCCTTTGGATGGTGCCGCTTCAACCTCAGGTATGGGACGGAGCGGGGCCATCAAGCGGCAAACCTTCCTGGGGCCAGAGGGGGGATGGCCTTTGGGTTCTACTCCATCTCTGTGAGTTTGGGAGGCGAACCAGGATGATTACAGTCTGCATTTAGGGTTTAACATTGGCAGATTGGATTGATGTGGCTTCTCGGTAGCACCTGGAGACTCAAGGCAGCTAACAATCCCACACTTTAAGTAAAAGTAAAGGTTTCCCTTGACATTAAGTCTAGTTGTGTTCAACTTTGAGGGATTGGTACTCTTCTTCCAAGCCGAAGAGCCAGCATCGTCCATAGACACCTCAAAGGTCATGTGGCTAGCTTGACAGCATGGAGCGCCATTACAACAACAAAACTTTTTTTATATACTGCTCTATCTCCCCAAGGAGACTCGGAGTGGTTTCCAAGTGACATAATCAATACATACAAAGAGAACAGCATGAACACAAAATTAATTTATTATTTATTTATTTATTTATTTATTTGACTTGTATACCGCTACTCCCAATTTGGCTCGTAGCGGTTTACAGCAGTAGATTAAAACAATACAATTAACTTTAAAATACAATAAAACAAGAACAGACATAGTCCCGATTTATTCACCCATCGAACAAGACAACATAAGCATTAAAAACCACAATAACACATATTTTTAAAATGATCCTGCCTGTTCAAGGCAGTTTAAAAGGCCGGGCTGGGCCAGTGCGATTTTAGAGGGCCCAGGAAATTAGGTAGAGTCTATGGCTGTAATTACCTTCCCTCTGAAGCAGTACCTATTGATCTACTCACATTTGCATGGAATCGAACTGCTAGGTTGGCAGAAGCTGGGGCTAACAGCAGGAGCTCACCCCACTCCCTGGATTCAAACCGCCAACCTTTCGATCAGCAAGTTCAGCAGCTCAGCGGTTTAACTTGCCACACCACCAGGGGCTTATTATTATTATTATTATTATTGTTATTATTATTATTATTATTATTATTATTAACACCACAAGATGAGTCCACAGCAGACAAGATCACTCTGCTGGCTGTTGTAGTGGATCACACATTGGACCCTTCCCAAGTGTCTAGGACTGTGTGATGTATTGGCAAATAATGCGTGCAGATCCCAGTAAGGTGGCCTTTTGCAGCTGGCAGATGGTAATTTTGTCAGCGCTGATTATGTTTAAGTGCAGGCCAAGGTCTTTAGGCACTGCACCCAGTGTGCTGATCACCACTGGGACCACCTTGACTGGCTTGTGCCAGACTCTTTGCAGTTCGATCTTTAAATCCTCATATTGTGTCAGCTTTTCCAGTTGTTTCTCTTCAATCCTGTTGTCACCTGGGATTGCAAGATTGACAATCCATACTTTGATTTTTAACACGATTGTGAGCTCAGGAGTGTTGTGCTCCAAAACTGTCCATTATTATTATTATTATTATTATTATTATTATTATTATTATTATTATTACAATAGAGCCTCGTTTTTCCAACATAAATGGGCCGGCAGAACGTTGGATAAGCGAAAATGTTGGATAATAAGGCAGGATTAAGGAAAAACCTATTAAACATCAAATTACGTAATGTTTTACAAATTAAGCACCCAAACTTCATGTTTTAGAACAAATGGACAGAAAAAGCAGTTCAATACACTGTAATGTTATATAATAATAATAATTATTATTATTATTTGTACTCCGCCAGCATCTCCCCGATGGGGACTCGGTGCGGCTTACATGAGGCCAAGCCCAAAACAACAATTACATAAAATAAAACCAAAAACGCAAATAATAAACAATAATAACTGTGTTTACAAATATAGCACCAAAACATCTCAATGTATTGAAATAGCTGTGGATCCGGGCGGGAGGCAGACTGCGTTGGATAATACAGAATGGTGGATTAGCGAAGGTTGGATAAGCAAGACTCTACTGTACTACTACTATTATTAACTTTATTTACACTCCACCTTTTTCTCGGGGAGACTCAAGGCTGCTCACTATCCCAAACTTTAGTCAAGTTGCCATGTTTCTCGATTGGGCCAAGTAGGATTTCACTTCCATTCTGTTTCCGCTTCATATCTGTCTGCTCTTTGCAGGGTGAATCCCCGGCTGGAGGTGGCCAGCACTTCTAAGAAGTGGCACATGGCCTTTCACGGGACGAGCATCGGGGCCATACGGCGCATGTTGGATCAAGGAGAGCTGGTGCCTGGTAAGGAACTGGAACTTCCTCCCTGAACTGGTCTGGTGCAGGCCTGGGCCAACTGGGGCCCTCTGGGTGTTTTGGACTTCAGCTCCCACCATTCCTAACAGCCTCAGGCCCCTTCCTTTTCCCCCTCAGCCATTAGGGGCTGAGGGGGAAAAGGAAAGGGCCTGAGGCTGTTAGGAATGGTGGGAGCTGAAGTCCAAAACACCTGCAAGGTCCACGTTTGCCCATGCCTGTGTTATTTTGGATGGAAACCTTTGCTTGGTACCAAATACTTCCCCTCTCTTTTTCGATTTCCTGGCCCCACAGGAAGTACCTCCATCTTGAGCTGCCGCCCGGTCAAGGCGGACCCCCAGGGAGGAGGGGGCGGAGGTGGGGGCGGCGGCGGGGGCGGGGGCAGCGGCAGCGGAGGGTACCTCGAGTCGGAGGAGAACTGTTCGCAAGGCCGGGAGGAGCTCCAGCGTGTCCTGCTGTCGCCGACTCTGCGCTACGCCGGGCTGGAGCCTTTTGCCACCAAAGTGCAGTACGTATCCTGGGTGGGGTTGCCCAGCGTGGAAACCACTGGGAAGGGCCCCTCTCCCTTGAATGGTTTTGCCCAGGACCTGATCCTGCCGTACGCAACTCCTGCTGAAATTCTCTTCCCCTCTTAAACAGAGGCTGGATGGCCATCTGTCAGGGGTGATTTGAATGCAATATTCCTGCTTCTTGGCAGGGGGTTGGACTGGATGGCCCATGAGGTCTCTTCCAACTATTTGATTCTAGGATTCTATGATTCTGCACCGCCATTAAAGGCGCAGGAGGGATTTCCAGCCTGTGCGCTGGCAACCCCAAATATACAATCCTAGAGTTGGAAGAGACACAAGAGCCATCCAGTCTAACTCTATTCTACCATGCAGAAAGACACAATCAAATCACCCCCGACAGATGGCCATCCAGCCTCTGCTTAACAGTCTCCATCATCTCCCTCCCCCCAGCACCAACATCCATTCTGGGCCAGAGTGAAGAGAGAGGGGGCCAGGGGACAGTTCCACCTTGTCTCCTGTGCTATGCTAATAACATAACATAACATAACATAACATAACATAACATAACATAACATAACATAACATAACATAACAACATAACATAACATAACATAACATAACATGACATAGTATAATATAATATAATATAATATAATATAATATAATATAATAATGTGTCCAAATTTGGTGTCAATTTGTCTAGTGGTTTTTAAGTTGAATTGGGTCCAGTAGATGAATGGCAGCCAGTGGAGCTCCTTGAACAGGAGGGATGACCGCTCCCTGTAAGGAGCCCCAGTTAACAGCCTGGTTGCCGCCCGTTGAATCAGCTGAAATTTCTGGGCCGTTTTCAAGGGCAGCCCCACATAGAGTGCATTGCAGTAATCTAGTCTAGAGGTGACCAAGGCAGAAGGAGGACAGTGTGGGGGGCTGCCTAATCTCCCTAGGGATGGTGTTCGAAAGACCTCCGTAGGTAGTTAATACTGCTCTTCTCTGACCGTTTTCCAGATTCAAAGACCCCAAGTCTCACCGGCAGCACACCGCCCAGGTGGCCTTCCAGGTGTGCGTCCGGCCGGGGTCTTACAAGGTGTGTGCCCAGTCGCTGGCGGCGCCCGAGCCCCTGGACCCCCGCTTCAGCAGTGCCGAGATCGAGTGGGTCACCAAGGAGAAAGGCGCCACGGTCCTGTACGGCCTCCTCGTCCGGGTGGAGTGAGAGCCCCCTCCTCATCCTCGAATGGGATCGGGATCCTTACGACCGACGTGCCATGGCATCGGAGGCGGGGGACAAGGGGAGTGGGTGGGCCTGGGTCTTGCCAAAAACTGATTCCGCCCTTGGCCGGAGACCCTTGGCCGACGACCTGCCCTCTTACGCACAGACCGGGTGGAGCCTGCGGTTCTGACACACGCTTCACACAATGGGCACAAGAGGCTCGCTGGGAGGGGAGACACGGCGGTGGCGCAACCCCTCTTCCTCCTCTTCCTCCTCCTCCTCCTCGATGGCTGCTGTCCCCTCCGTACCCCTTTCCCCCCCTTTTTTTTGCACAGAGGCGAGACAAAGCTAGGGGGAGGGAGGGCCAGGTGTGGAGTGTGGAGTGGAACCTTTTATTTACAAAGCATGAAGAAGGGTTTTAAGGGTTTTTTGGCGGGGCACCGGGTGGGGGACGGCAGCGGGATGATGAAGAGTTGTGTAGTGGCCACAAATGGACTTGGTTGACTTTTGTTTCCCCACTGGGATGGGAGGGAGGGAGGGCGGCCTTTCCCTAAGGTCCTGGGGCCTTCTCTACTGACAGAACTTCCTTTTCCCTCCTTCCCTCCCTCCCCACATGTCTTTCAACCCCTTTGTATTAATGGGGGGAAGAGTTGGGATGAATGAATTGTTTTGCGTGGGAAAGAGAAATCGGTAGGCTTGCGATCCAAGCAGGGTTAGACCTTTTAGAAAGATGTGTGTTTTGTTGGGCCGGTGGAAGTGGAAAACCCCACCATCTTGTCCCGAAGAGGCAAATTGATTATTATTACTACTATTATTATCAGAGATGAGGGAGGATTTTGCCTTTGTAGTCCTGTTTGTGTCAGCATTGTCCTCCGTGGAAGCTCGCTTAATTTCGCTCTTCCCAAAAAACCAGATTCCTCCTGCCAAGAAAGTCCTAGACAATCAAGGCGAGGAGGCAAGAAATGGGGATAGTGTGAGCTTGCTAGAGTTTTAATTCACGCAGACAATTAAACCCATTTAGAAGGTTTGAAGTGGGCAGCTGGGTTTGGAAAGGACGTCACATTGATTGCAGATGGACTCAAAATAGGGTCATTCTTTCGCTGCACCCACCGAAGATTAAGCGTCCCGAGAATCCCTCAAATACGACAAGCACACCTCTGACATTCAGACTTTTTTGGTTCATTTTCCTGCTCATTTTCTTCCATTTGGACAGTTGCCTTGATCCATCCCTTGGTATATGATTTTTTTTTTGTTCTCTTCCCCTCCCTTCCCTTATTTATTTATTTTTGTGTTGGTTGTCAAACAAATAAACAAACAAACAAAAATGTGAATTGTTTAAAAGGGGCGGGGAAGGGTACAAGGCTCAAAAACGGCCACCCTTTTTCTCCCCCTTTGATTTCTATTATATTTTAAATGGTATTTATGCTGCTTTTTTCACTTTATGTGTTGGAAAAATGACATGCATTACTTTTTGTACATCTGTCTCGAGCTGAAAGGGTTTATTTTTTTCTTTTTGTCGTTGTTGTCTTTGTTCCGGACAAAAAGTTTAAAAGGTTGTACAGCGCGTTCTCCCTCCTCTCCCGTCTTGCAAGGGTTTATAAACCACGATTCAACTGGTTTTATGTCTTTTTGTGTGTTTGTCCTTCTCCCAAAACCTTCCCAATATGAGACACAGGTCTTTGGCAAGCAACAAACCTGTGACGCCTCTCTCTCTCTCTCTTGAGCAACGTTTTGTTGGGTAGCTTAAAATGGGAATTACGCATCATCTTGAATAACAAATAGTTTGAACTGTGTATTCTGTGTTTTTTGATTGACCACAACAGACTGGATGGAGCTTGCAAAATGAATTTCAACAGACTGTTTAGCAGGAATAATGCAATGCATAGAACAGGATAAGTAACTCCAGGCTTGAAAGCTATGGATAAGAAAAGGATCTTGAAGGTTGCATCGACACACTTCGCTTATGCACTACTAAGGGTGCATCTACACTCTAGAAATGATTTTTGATGTTTTATCATCCTTGTGGGAGGCTTCTCTCATGTCCCCGCATGAGGAGCTGGAGCTGATAGGGGGAGCTCATCCACCGCTCACCAGATTTGAACCTGCGACCTGTCGGTCTTCAGTCCTGCCGGCACAGGGATATTGTTACATATTATTCTTAATATATTATTGTTACATATTATTCTTAATATATTATTCATATATAATATACTACATATTATTCCATATATTGTTGTTGTTGTTCATTCATTCAGTCGTCTCCGACTCTTCGTGACCTCATGGACCAGCCCACGCCAGAGCTCCCTGTCGGCCGTCACCACCCCCAGCTCCTTCAAGGTCAGTCCAGTCACTTCAAGGATGCCATCCATCCATCTTGCCCTTGGTCGGCCCCTCTTCCTTTTGTCTTCCACTTTCCCCAGCATCATTCCCTTCTCTAGGCTTTGCTGTCTCCTCATGATGTGGCCAAAGTACTTCAACTTTGTCTCTAGTCTCCTTCCCTCCAATGAGCAGCCGGGCTTTCTTTCCTGGAGGATGGACTGGTTGGATCTTCTCGCAGTCCAAGGCACTCTCAGAACTTTCCTCCAACACCACAGCTCAAAAGCATCTCTCTTCCTTCGCTCAGCCTTCCCTAAGGTCCAGCTCTCACATCCGTAGGTGACTACAGGGAAGACCATGGCTTGGACTAGGCAATGGATCTTTGTTGCCAGTCTGATGTCTCTACTCTTTACTATTTTATCGAGACTGGACATTGCTCTCCTCCCAAGAAGGAAGCGTCTTCTGATTTCCTGGCCACAGTCTGCATCTGCAGTCATCTTTGCACCTAGAAATACAAAGTCTGTCACGGCCTCCACATTTTCTCCCTCTATTTTCCCAGTTGTCAATCATTCTTGTTGCCATAATCTTGGTTTTTTTATGTTTAGCTGCAACCCAGCTTTTGCGCTTTCTTCTTTCACCTCGATTAGAAGGCTCCTCAGCTCCTCCTCGCTTTCGGCCATCAGAGTGGTGTCATCTGCATATCTGAGGTTGTTAATGTTTCTTCCAGCAATTTTCACCCCAGCTTTGCATTCCTCAAGCCCCGCACATCCTCGCATGATGTGTTCTGCATACAAGTTAAAGAGGTTGGGTGAGAGGATGCAGCCTTGCCGGACGCCTTTCCCAATCTTGAACCAGTCTGTTGTTCCGTGGTCAGTTCTGACTGTTGCCACTTGGTCCTTGTACAGATTCCTCAGGAGAGAGGGAAGGGGGCTTGGGATGCCCATCCCACCAAGAACTTGCCACAATTTATTATGATCCACATGCTAGCATCTCCCGAAGGACTCAGTGCAGCTTACAAAGGCCAAGGCCTCAACACAACAACAGACAATAACAATACAATACAAAACAAATTAAAAACATAAGCAATAAGAAAACATTACACTATTATGCAATAAAACCAGGGCCCGGCCAATTAATTGTTATTCATATATATATTGTGTGTGTGTGTGTGTGTGTAATATGAATAATGGTGTTATATTGTTACATTTTTCGTATATTATTATTAGTCATATAATATATAGATATATACATATTAATATTATATTGTTACATATTATTCCTACTATATTGTTATTCATATATAATATACTACATATTATTTATACATTATTCATATGCATAAATATAATATTCCATATATTATTATTATTTATATATTCCGTATTCATATGTATATATATTTATATATAATATATATTCCATATATTATTATTTATATATTCATATGCATATATATGATATATTCCATATGTTATTAGTTACTGTATATTCTGGCGTATAAGACTACTTTTTAACCCAAGAAAATCTTCTCAAAAGTCAGGGGTCGTCTTATACGCGGGAGTAGCCTTATGCATGAGAGTCATCTTATATGCGGGAGCAGTCTTATACGCTGCATTATATGGCAACGTAGAAAGAGGCAAAGAGTTGCAAGCTGCAATAAATGACAATGTAGAGACCAAAACAAAGTTGTTTAGTCAGTTTATAATCACTTAGGGCCCTTTCAGGGTGTGTGTTGGAAGAGGAGTAGTCTTATACGGTGAGTATATCCCAAACTATATTTTAACTGGAAAAGTTGGGGGTCGTCTTATATGCCCAGTCTTATATGCCGGAATATACGGTATAAAAGAGAGGAGATTCCATCTGAACACGAGGAAGAACTTCCTGACTGTGAGAGCCGTTCAGCAGTGGAACTCTCTGCCCTGGAGTGTGGTGGAGGCTCCCTCTTTGGAAGCTTTTAAACAGAGGCTGGATGGCCATCTGTCAGGGGTGATTTGAATGCAATATTCCTGCTTCTTGGAGGGGGTTGGACTGGATGGCCCATGAGGACTCTTCCAACTCTTTGATTCTATGATTCTATGTGTGTGTGTGTATGTGTGTATGTATATATATATATATAAATATATAGGAATGACAATGTGAGCTCGTTTGAGCCACAACAATAGCAGCTTCCCCCCAGAAACCCACTTTTCTAAGACTTCAAGTCCCCGGATGCATCTGCTATGGCTGAGTTGGCAGGGGACGAAATGGAACGGAAGTCCTTCGCTCCGTGTTGCGGGAGGGGTGGCTGTCAGCGTGGCACCGCGGGCCGGAACCGGAAGTAGCACTAGCCACAGCGGAAGCGGGCGGGTCTGAGGAGAGGAGGAGGAGGAGAGCGCCTTTCTTCCTTCCTTCCTTCCCTCCTTTCTTTCTTTCCTTCTCCGCGGTTTCCTCGTTGGGCCTTCGGGTGCCCCCTCCCCGGCCTTCGCCATGCCGGCGCTGCTGGAGCGCCCGAAGCTGAGCTCGGCCATGGCGCGGGCCTTGCACCGGCACGTGATGGTGGAGCGGGAGAGGAAGCGGCAGGGTGAGACCCGGGGAGAGGGGGATAGATACACTCCTTCATGGCGCTAGAGGGGACATCCCAGGGACATCCAGTCCAACCCTCAGATAGAGACATACATAGATAGATTCATGGCATTGGAAGGGACACCTAAAGGCCATCCAGTCCAACCCACAGGTAGATAGAGAGAGAGAGAGAGAGAGATAGAATTATGGTGTTAGAAGGGGCACCCAAAGGCCATCCATTCTAACCCACAGATAGAGACATACATAGATAGATTCATGGCATTGGAAGGGACACCTAAAGGCCATCCAGTCCAACCCACAGGTAGATAGAGAGAGAGAGAGAGAGATAGAATTATGGTGTTAGAAGGGGCACCCAAAGGCCATCCAGTCTAACCCACAGATAGATAGATAGATAGATAGATAGATAGATAGATAGATAGATAGATAGAATTATGGTGTTAAAAGGGACACCCAAAAGCCATCCAGTCCAACCCTCAGAATGAATTATGGTGATAGAAGGGACATCCAAAGGCCATCCAGTCCAACCCTCAGATAGATAGATAGATAGATAGATAGATAGATAGATAGAATTATGATGTTAGAAGGGACACCCAAAGGCCATCCAGTCCAACCCACAGATAGATAGATAGATAGATAGATAGAATTATGGTGTTAAAAGGGACACCCAAAAGCCATCCAGTCCAACCCTCAGAATGAATTATGGTGATAGAAGGGACATCCAAAGGCCATCCAGTCCAACCCTCAGATAGATAGATAGATAGATAGATAGATAGAATTATGATGTTAGAAGGGACACCCAAAGGCCATCCAGTCCAACCCACAGATAGATAGATAGATAGATAGATAGATAGATAGATAGAGTCATGCACTTAGAAGGGACACCCAGAGGCCACCCAACCCCAATAGATAGATGATAGATTGCTTCATGGTGTTAGAAGGGATATCCAAGGGACATTTAGTCCAACTTTCAGATAGATAGATAGATTCATGAAGTTAGAAGGGACCCGAAAAGCCACCCATTTCAATCCATAGATAGACAGACAGATAGATAGAATTATGGTGTTAGAAGGGACACCCAAAAGACATCCAGTCCAACTCTCAGATAGATAGAGAGATAGATAGATAAATAAATTCATGATATTGGAAGGGACACCCAAAGGCCATCCAGTCCAACCCACGGATAGATAGATAGATTCATGCACTTAGAAGGGACACCCAGAGGCCACCCAACCCCAATAGATAGATGATAGATACATTGATTCATTGCTTCATGGCGTTAGAAGGGATATCCAGGGGACATCCAGTCCAACCCCCAGATAGATAGATCGATAGATAGATTCATGAAGTTACAAGGGATCCAAAAAGCCATCCAGTTCAATCCATAGATATATTGATTTATAATGCTATATATATTGTTATGTTGCTGTTTTTATTGAGGCCTTGGCCTTTGTAAGCCGCATCGAGTCCTTCGGGAGATGCTAGCAGGGTACAAATAAAGTTAATAATAGATAGATAGATAGATAGATAGATAGATAGATAGATAGATAGAATCATGGTGTTAGAAGGGACACCCAGAAGACATCCAGTCCAACTCTCAAATAGATAGATAGATAGATTCATGGCATTGGAAGGGATACTTAAAGGCCATCCAGTCCAACCCACAGATAGATAGATAGATAGATAGATAGATAGATAGATAAGAACGAATTATGGTGTTAGAAGGGACACCCAAAGGCCATCGAGCCCAACCCCAATAGATAGATGATAGGTCAGGCATGGGACAACATAGATAGATAGATAGATAGATAGATAGATAGATAGATAGATAGATAGAATCATGGTGTTAGAAGGGACACCCAAAGGCCATCCAGTTCAACCCTCAGATAGATGCATAGATAGATAGAGAAATAAATAAATAAATAAATAGAGAGAATCATGCACTTAGAAGGGACACCCATAGGCCACCCAACCCCAATAGATAGATGATAGATACATTGATTCATCGCTTCATGGCATTAGAAGGGATATCCAAGGGACATCCAGTCCAGCCCCAAGATAGATATATTGATAGATTCATGAAGTTAGAAGGGATCTGAAAAGCCATCCAGTTCAATCCATAGATAGATAGAAAAAATTATGGTGTTAGAAGGAACACCCAAAAGACATCCAGTCCAACCCATAGATAGATAGATAGATAGATAGATAGATAGATAGATAGATAGATAGAATCATGCACTTAGAAGGGACACTCAGGGGCCACCCAACCCCAATAGATAGATGATAGATACATTGATTCATCGCTTCATGGCGTTAGAAGGGATATCCAAGGGACATTTAGTCCAACTTTCAGATAGGTAGATAGATATATAAATAGATAGAAAATATAAATTCATGGCATTGGAAGGGACACTTAAAGGCCATCCAGCCCAACCCACAGATAGATAGATAGATAGATAGATAGATAGATAGATAGATAGATAGATAGAATTATGGTGTTAGAAGGGACACCCAAAGGCCATCCAGCCCAATCCCAATAGATAGATGATAGGTCAGGCATGGGACAACTGCGGCTCTCTCTCCAGGTGTTTTGGACTCCAACTAGGCTTTAAGAATTGTGGGAGTTGAAGCCCAGAGCACATGGAGGGCCAAAGTTTGCCCATGCCTGTGATAGATAGATAGATTGCTTCATGGCGTTAGAAGGAATATCCAAGGGACATCCAGTCCTACCCCCAGATAGATAAATAGATAGATTCATGAAGTTTGAAGGGACCCGAAAAGCCATCCAGTTCAATCCATAGATAGAATCATAGTGTTAGAAGGGACACCCAACGGCCATCTAGTCCAACTCTCAGATAGATCCATAGAGAGAGAGAGAGAATCATGAACTTAGAAGGGACACCCAGAGGCCACCCAACCCCAATAGATGATAATACATTGATTCATTGCTTCATGGTGTTAGAAGGGATATCCAAGGGACATTTAGTCCAACTTTCAGATAGATACATAAATAGATAGAAAAATAAATTCATGGCATTCGTAGGGACACTTATCATGCACTTAGAAGGGACACCCAGAGGCCACCCAACCCCAATAGATAGATGATAGATATATTGATTCATCGCTTCATGGCGTTAGAAGGGACATTTAGTCCAACTTTCAGATAGATAGATAGATAGATTCATGACATTAGATATATTAGATAGATTCATGACATTAGAAGGAATATCCAAGGGACATCCAGTCCAACCCCCAGATAGATATATAGAATTATTCATGGCGTTGGAAGGAACACTTAAAGGCTGTCCAGTGCAGATAGATTCCAGATAGATAGATAGATAGATAGATAGATAGATAGATAGATGGGACCATCCCCCCCCCCCCCAAGGCTATCCAGTCTAACTCCAAGATAGAGAGATACATTGATACATTGCTTCATGGCATTAGAAGGGACCCCCAAAGGCTATCCTGGCCCTTAGATAGATAGGTAGATAGGTAGATAGATTGATGGCATTAAAAGGGGTCCCCAAAGGCCATCCAGTCCAACTCCCTAGATCGATAGGTAGGTAGGTATGTAGGTAGGTAGATTCATGGCGTTGGAAGGGACTCCAAAGGCCATCCAATCCATAGGTAGGTAGGTAGGTAGATAGAATCATGTAGTTAGAAGGGACACCCAAAAGCCATCCAATCTCATCCCAATAGATAGATGATAGGTCAGGCATGGGCCAACTTCAGCTCTCCCTCCAGGTGTTTTGGACAGCTGGCAGGCTGTTAGGAATCGTGGGAGCTGAAATCCAAAACACCTGGAGGAGAGCCGAAGTTTGCCTATGGCTGTGATAAATAGATAGCTTGCTTCATGGTGTTAGAAGGGACATCCAGTCCAACCCACAGATAGATTAATATATAGAGGGAATGAATCATTGTGTTTGATAGATAGAGATAGATAGGTAGGTAGGTAGGTAGGTAGGTAGGCAGACACATAATTGATAAGATCATGTAGCACAGTGGTTCCCAACCAGTGGTCCGCAAGCACGAAAGTTTAGTCAACAGCCTCACCATTACTACATCGTTGCCTTGAAACCACGTGGCAACGAGAGTGACTGGCCTCACGAAACCCTCAGATCCCTGAGGCAACAGGGATCTCGGGCGGGGAAAGGCATTACAACGAAAGAGTACTACTACCACATCAGCTCTAGATTATTAAATATGGTTTTCTGTGGGCAAGCAGATTGCGACTACTGGATGGCATATGTTCTGTATCAGAAACTGGAGCTGTTATGGTCTATTCAATGCAATTTTCTGAATCACCACCCCAAATAAGCAAACCGAATCTAAAGTTGACCAAAAACTGATTCATAACCCTTTTGATACTAATGTTGGAGAGTGGTCCTTGACAAAGTAGTCCCTGGTCATAGTGGTCCCTAGTAAAAAAAAAAGGTTGAGAACCACTGATGTAGGAGTTTAAGTGTTGGACTAGAACTCTAGAAGACCAGGGTTCAAATGAACCCTCTCTTGGCCATAAAAAGCCCCAGAGTGGCCTTGGGAAAGTGCCGCTCTCAGCCTTAAAGGAAGGCAACAGGAAACCTCTTCAGAATAAATCTTGCAAATAGGATCCTCGGAGTCACCTTGAGGCACACAGCAACCACCTTCCTCTGAGTTGAGGTTTACCCTTCCGACTACCACCAAATTAAAGTTTTGCACTGGACATTGTCCCTGTATTGTTCCAGGAAATCAATTCTCTGTGGACCTCTCTTTCTGTCCTGCAGAGGAAGAAGAAGTAGACAAAATGATGGAGCAGAAGATGAAGGAGGAGCAGGAGAGGCGGAAGAAGAAAGAGATGGAGGAACGCATGTCTCTGGAGGAGACCAAGGAGCAGGTCGGTGGTTGGGACCAGATTCCAATGCCGTGTGCCTTCGGAATCCACGGGGCATTCATTCCAGGATTCCCCAAAGATGCAAAAGAATGTGCAGGCTCATGTTCCTATTAAAAATTGTGTATAGCAGCAGCACAAGTTGCAGCAAGCCTCACTAACAATCCTCTTCTCCCTTCTGAGTGAATCCTTCAGTGGAGTTAAAACAGACATAATAATAAAATAATAATAATAATAATAATAATTTTAAAAACCATACTGATTAATAGTGAATAATAATGATAATAATAATAACTGCAAAGACTCTGGCACAAGCCAGTAAAGGTGGTCCCAGTGGTGATGGGCACACTGGGTGCAGTGCCTCAAGACCTTGGCCTGCACTTAAACACAATCGGCGCTGACAAAATTACCATCTGCCAGCTGCAGAAGGTCACCTTACTAGGATCTGCACGCTTTATTCGCCGCTACATCACATGGTCCTAGACACTTGGGAAGTGTCCGACGTGTGATCCAATTCAACAGCCAGCAGAGTGTCTGCTGTGGACTCATCTTGTTGTATTTCAAATACTAATAATATACATCACACAGTCCTAGACACTGGGGAGGTGTCCGACTTGTGATTTTGTGATATGAAATCCAGCATATAGATCTCTTTTGCTGTGACATACTGTGTGTTTGTGTCACTAAAATAATAATAATAATAATTGCAAATAATAATTACTGGGACCACATTTACTGGTTTGTGCCAGTAAGGTGGTCCCAGTGATGATCGGCACACTGGGTACAGTGCCTAAAGACCTTGGCCTGCACTTAAAGACAATCGGCGCTGACAAGATTACCATCTGCCAGCTGCAAAAGGCCACCCAACTCGGATCTGCACGCATTATTCACTGATACACTTGGGAAGTGTCCGACGTGTGATCCAGTACAACAGCCAACAGAGTGATCTTGTTTGCTGTGGATTCATCTTGTTGTGTTTCTAATAATAATAATAATAATAGTAATAATAATAATGACATACTGTGTTTTTGTGTCAGTAAAATAATAATAATAATAATAATAATAATAATAATAATAATATCAGTAGTAATAATTTTATTTCTTACCCACCTCTCCCCACAGCTCGAGGTGAGTCACAGCACAGTTAAAAAAACACAAATACTATATAAAAATTCTATAAGTACACATTAAAATTCAGCTCCATAAAAGATACAGATCGAAGCATTTCTGTAAAATACACATTGATCACACAGGACAGAGACCAAAAACACTTGAGATGAGTTTAAAATTCATGCTTTTAACTGACTAGCCAATAGGATGTTAGGAATTGTGGGAGTTGAAGTCCAAAACACCTGGAGGGCCAAAGTTTGCTCATGCCTGGTTTAGAACAAAGCAATCTTCACAAATGAATCTGTTTTGGGAATGTGTTAACCAAGAAGGGCCTGTTTTGCTCACCAAGATGTCCAGGCCAACCCACACCGTTTCCTGCCTCCCTTCCTCAGGTCCTGAAGCTTCAAGAGAAGCTCCAAGCCCTGCAAGAAGAGAAACACCAGCTTTTCCTGCAGCTGAAGAAGGTCCTCCACGAAGAGGAGAAGCGCCGTCGCAAGGAGCAAAGGTCAGTGGTCCTTCCTTCCTTCTGTTCCCTGCTTTTTTTCTTTCCTTCTCTCCTTCTTTCCCTTCTTCTCTCATAGTTTCTGTCCTTCCTTCTCTCCTTCCTTCCTTCTTTACCTTTCTTTCTTTCCTTCTTTCTCCCTCCCTCCTTTTCCTTCTTCTCTCCTCCTTCTCTCCTTCCTTCCGGGGGCGGGGGCGGGGGAAGAAGAAGGAGGGGGAGGAGGTAAGTTTGGTGTGTTTTGGGGCGGGGAGGGAGGGGGCGTGGCGTGAACGTGGGGGGCAGGGCGGGGGGAGGGGCGGGGGCGTGAACGTGGGGGGAGGGGAGGGAGGGGGCAGGTTGTGAACATGGGGGGCAGGGCTGGGGGGGGAGGGGGGGTGGCCGGGGAGGGAGGGGGCGTGGCGTGAACATGGGGGGCGGGGGAAGAGGAAGGAGGGGGAGGAGGTAAGGTTGGGGTATGAGCGTTTAGGGGCGGGGGAGGGAGGGAGGGGCGTGGCGTGGCGTGAACGTGGGTGGCGTGGGTGGGGGAAGAAGAAAGAGGGTGTGTTGGAAAGAGGGCGTATGGGAGGGTAGGGGCGGGGTGACGGAGGATGGGGGCGTGGCTTGCGTGGAGGGTGCGTTGGCCGGCCAGCCATGTGCGCGCGCCGGGGACTTGCGGCGGGGCGCCTTTGCGCATGCTCAGTTGGTTTTTGTTGTTGTGAGTGTGTCGAAATGTTGTTTAGAATTTTGAATCGGTTTGCGCATACCTTGTGGGTTAAGGTATGTGCATGGTAAATTTGGTAAATTTTCGTTGGGGGGGTTTTGAGTTTTGCTGTCCCATTGGACGCCCTTTCTCTTTTTATATATATAGATTATTAGCATAATACAATATCAGCATTAAACATTGCTATATTGCACCATACCACTATATCGTAATGTTATTAGTAATATTACATGTAATATAAATATATAATTGTAATATATTATTATTATATTGCATTGCATTATAATATTATAAATACTATATGTATATACAATATATTATATTAGATTAGATTATATTGTATTGTATTGTATTATATTATATTATATTATATTATATTATATTATATTATATTATATTATATTATATTATATTGTTAGAATAGCACAGGAGACAAGGTGGGAGTGTCCCCTGGTCCCCTCTCTCTTCACTCTGGTCAAGAGTGTCTCCTGGATATGCCATCAGCTAGAGACCCCTCCCCTCAGCACTTTCGGATTTCTGGGAGTTGAAGGCTAAAACACCTGGGGACCCACAGGTTGAGAACCACTGTATTAAAGTCTCAACCAATTCAACATTGTTTGTGGCAGCCACAAAAACAAAGTTTCCAGAGTAGAACGACTACTTTCCAAGTAAATACCGCACCATTAAACAGGAAATAAGACTTTCAGAACAGGAACAGCAAAAATTTTCAAGTTTTGTTACATAGTGTAATCTGAAACCACACTGGTGACATTCTGTGAGATAAACAGTGGCACTGAAGACTCTTTCCACTTGTTTGTTCTCACAGTGACATGACGACTCTGGCAGCCGCTGCCTACCAGCAGGGCATGGCAGTCCACGCTGGGACCCACATCCTCAACATGCAAGGTGGGTTACGTTGAGTTCCAAAAGTCATCCTCTCCCAACTCTAGGATTCCATGATACTGTGATATATTGCACGTAACAAGAAATATGTCTCTTTTCTTCAGTGCCTCTTTCCGAACTTCATTCCTAGCCACCTGGGAAATCTATGAACGTCACGGGATATTGTTTATGGCTCACAATCCAATAGACAGCACTAATCCCTCCAGAAGCTAAAGGCCCATCTACACAAGAATTAGTGCAGTTTGGCACCACTTAAACTGCCTTGACTCCAAACTATAAAATCCTAGAAGTTTTTAGCTTCCTAGGGATGCGCTCTATGTGGGGCTGCCCTTGAAGACAGCCTGGAAATTCCAACTGGTCCAACGAGCAGCAGGCGGACTACTAATTGGTGTGAGCTACAGGGAGCAGTCAAGCCCCCTGTTTAATTTATTATTTTATTTATTTATTTACAGCTTTTATATTCCGCCCTTTCACCCCGCAGGGGACTCAGGGCAGATTACAGTGTACACATATATAGCAAACATTCAGTTCAATTATTAACATACAAACATATACAGACATACACAGAGGCTATTTAACTTTTTCTGGCCACCAGGGGAGCTGTCGCTTTCATTCTCCATCTGCGACGCTGATGAAGCACTTCTGCATTCCCCGCATGCTTCCCCGCTGGAATGCTTTTGCTGGAGTCTTCTTTATGGCCTCATAAATCAGTTAATTTAGCTTCCCCACACTTTAAGGTGGTACCTTATTTTCCTACTTGACAGATGCAACTGTCTTTTGGGTTGCCAAGGTCGACAACAGGCTACACACAATTGGTTGGAAACCCACTCCAACCCGGGCTGGCTTCGAATTCATGACCTTTTTGGTCAGAGTGACCTTAATGCAGCTGACACTCAGCCAGCAGCACCACAATCCCGGTGCTTTAAGGAGTCCCACTGCCTGCCATTTATTTTCCAGGCCCAATTAAAGGTGCAGGTTTTGACCTACAAGGCCCTAAATGGTTTGGGACCCACCTACCTGCGCGACTGCATTTCTGTGTACGAACCCATGAGACCTCTTCAATCTTCTGGAGAGGCCCTTCTCTCGCTCCCACCCTCATCGCAAGCGCAACTTGTGGGGACGAGAGAGAGGGCCTTCTCTGTGGTGACCCCTCGGCTCTAGAATTCGCTCCCCAGAGATATCAGGCAAGCCCCCACCCTGGAGCTCTTAAGGAGGAGCCTGAAAACCTGACTGTTCCAATGTGCCTTCAATGACTGAATGTATGATAATCCTTGACCAAACTCTGCATAAAATGTCCTCAGAAGCACTTTATTCTCTGGTTTGTGCAATGAACTTCTACCTTATCTCCCGGATCCCCTTCCTGATATTTTACACTGCCCTCTCTCCCAGTGTTTTAATTTTTTTTATTTTTGTACTGGCCCTGCCCATTGTGTTCATTTTTAGTGGTTTAATGTTTTGATTTTATATTGTTGTGCTGTAGATTTACATTTGGTATTTTTGTATTTTACGTTGTTTTATTTTCTGATTTTCTGTTGTGTTTTTGTATTATACTGTGTTTTCCGTATTGATGGGTGTGGCCTCATGTAAGCTGCATCGAGTCCCCTTTGGGGAGATGGTATGATATAAATGATGATTATGATGATGATGATGATTATTATTATTATTATTGTCGAAGGCTTTCATGGCTGGAATCACTAGGTTGTTGTAGGTTTTTCCGGGCTATATGGCCATGGTCTAGAGGCATTTTCTCCTGACGTTTCGCCTGCATCTATGGCAAGCATCCTCAGAGGCGAAACGTCAGGAGAAAATGCCTCTAGAACAGTGTTTCTCAACCTGGGGGTCAGGACCCCTGAGGGGGTCGTGAGGGGGTGTCAAAGGGGTCGCCAAAGACCATCAGAAAACATAGTATTTTCTGTTGGTCATTGGGATTCTGTGTGGGAAGTTTGACCCAATTCTATTGTTGGTCGAGTTCAGAATGCTCTTTGATTGTAGGTGAACTATAAATCCCAACAACTACAACTCCCAAATGTCAAGGTCTATTTTCCCCAGACTCTACCAGTGTTCACATTTGGGCATACTGAGTATTTGCCAAGTTTGGTCCAGATCCATCATTGCATGAATCCACAGCACTCCTCTGGATATAGGTGAACTACAACTCCCAAACTCAAGGTCAATGCCCACAAAACCCTTCCAGTGTTTTCTGTTGGTCATGGGAGTTCTGTGTGCCAAGTTCAGTTTAAATCCATCGCTGGTGGAGTTCAGAATGCTTTTTGATTATAGGTGAACTATAAATCCCAGCAACTACAACTCCCAAATTACAAAATCAATCCTCTCCCCCCCACCACCCACTAGCATTCACATTTGGGCATATTGGGTATTTGTGCTCAATTTAGTCCAGTGAATGAAAATATATCCTGCATATCAGATATTTACATTACGATTTACAACCGTACCAAAATGACAGGTATCAAGTAGCAACGAAAACAATATTATGGTTGGGGGTCACCACAACATATGGAACGGCATTAAGGGGTCACAGCATTGGCAAGGTTGAGAACCACTGCTCTAGAACATGGCCATATAGCCTGGAAAAACCTACAATAACCCATTATTATTATTATTATTATTATTATTATTATTATTATTATTATTATTGTGGAACAAAAGGGGAAGGGAAGAGCTGTGTTTTCCTGTTCCTAAGGAAGGTTTTCATCCTATTTCCATGGGATTTCACCCTTTCTTCCTCTCTCTGCAGGGAGTCCCGGCGGACATAACCGGGCCGGGACCCTGATATCGGCCGATCGAGCCAAACAGATGTTTGGGCCGCCTGTGATTACTGTAAGTATTAAACCCCACAGTGTTTTTGGTTTTGCTAATGGAGAAGCATTGTGAGAGTTTGGCCCTCCAGGTGCTTTGGACTTCAACTCCCACAATTCCTAACAGCCTCAGGCCCCTTCCTTTTCCCCCTCAGCCGCTTATTATGATTGTTGTTGTTGTTGTTGTTGTTATTGTTATTAAGGGCCATCCAGTCTAACGCCCTTATACAATGGAGGAATGGATCAATACAGACCTCTAAGTTTACAGCCTGTGCTGGATGGGGTCGCACTCCCCTTGAAGGCGCAGGTTCGCAGCTTGGGTGTGACCCTGGATTCATCGTTGAGCCTGGATCCCCAGGTTTCAGCGGTGACCAGGGGAGCATTTGCACAGCTCAGGCTTGTGCGCCAGCTGCGCCCGTATCTCGGGAAGTCTGACTTGGCCACGGTGGTACACGCTCTTGTCACATCCCGCCTGGACTACTGCAACGCTCTCTACGTGGGGCTGCCCTTGAAGACGGCCCGGAAGCTTCAGCTGGTTCAGCGTGCGGCAGCCATGTTACTAACTGGAGCGGGACGCAGGGAGCACACAACGCCCTTGTTGTCCCAGCTCCACTGGCTGCCGATTTGCTACCGGACCCAATTCAAGGTGCTGGTTTTGGCCTACAAAGCCCTAAACGGTTCCGGCCCAAAATACCTTTCCGACCGCATCTTGGCCTACGAGCCCACGAGGACCTTGAGATCGTCTGGGGAGGCCCTGCTCTCGATCCCGCCTGCCTCACAGGCACGTTTGGCGGGGACGAGGGAAAGGGCCTTCTCGGTGGTGGCCCCCCGGCTGTGGAACACTCTCCCTGCACACATCAGACAGGCGCCCTCCCTCATGTCCTTTCGGAAAAGCCTCAAGACATGGCTTTTCGAGAGGGCATTTAATTAATCTAGTGCTAATAATATGGTTATGAGAACTGGAATGGAACTAGGAATATGAGACCGGCTATGATTCCACTAAGAGGCGAAGCGGATTTTAGTGTAGTCTGTAGTTGTCGTATAGTCTGTATGTTGTGAAACTGACTTTTGTAATTGTCTTTTATGTGTACTGTACACCGCCATGAGTCGCCCGTATGGGCTGAGAATGGCGGTTAATAAGTGCATCAAATAAATAAATAAATAAATAAAATATGATTTTTTTCCCCAAAAAAAAAGTTTGCAGAGTTGGTATCCTATGAAATGTCCTTTGACCAGTATCTGGCCACTTGGAGTGCCTCTGGTGTTGCTGCAAGAAGGTCCTCCATTGTGCATGTGGCAGGGCTCAGGTTGCATTGCAGCAGGTGGTCAGTGGTTTGCTCTTCTCCGCACTCGCATGTCGAGGATTCCACTTTGTGGCCCCATTTCTGAAGGTTGGCTCTGCATCACGTGGTGCCAGAGCGCAGTCTGTTCAGCACCTTCCAAGTTGCCCAGTCTTCTGTGTGCCCAGGAAAGGGGAGTCTCTCATTTGGTATCAGCCATTGGTTGAGGTTCTGGGTTTGAGCCTGCCACTTTTGGACTCTCGCTTGCTGAAGTGTTCCAGCGAGTGTCTCTGTAGATCTTAGAAAACTATTTCTTGATTTAAGTCTTTGACGTGCTGGCTGATACCCAAACGGGGGATGAGCTGGAGATGTCATAATACAATATAATACTAGCAATAATAATACAATATTATAATTATATATTTATATTACATGTATTTATTTATTTATTTACCTTACTTATATACCGCTGTTCTCAGCCCGAAGGCGACTCACAGCGGTTCACAACAAATACGAACAGCAAAAATTCAGTGCTACAGTATAGAAACAGTTAACAACCTAACACATTACACAATTAATAAACAGTTACTACAATACCCATTCACTGTCGTCATCAAAAACATGTTCCAGATTCGTCATCCATTGTTCCATTCCAGTGTTCATTAACCAATATTACTAATAATATTACAATATAATGGTATAGTGCAACATAGTAATACATAATATTGATATTGTATTATGCTAATAATATAATATATTGTATGTATATATATCTTGGAAGCCGCTCTGAGTCCCCTTCAGGGTGAGAAGGTCGGCTTATAAATGTCATAAATAAAATAAATATTACATGTAATATTCACAAATTTGCGTGTCATCGTTGCGCAGGGGCCATGCTAATCTTCTCTGTATTGTTCCAATTTTAGTATATGTGCTGCCGAAGTGAGCACATACATGTAATATTACTAATAATATTATAATGGTATAGTTCAATATAGTCATATATAATTTCTGATATTGTACTATGCTAATAATATAATACATTGTATGTATATATATCTTGTAAGCCACTCTGAGTCTTTTTCGGGGTGAGAAGGGCGGCATAGAAATGTCGTAAATAAATAATTAAAAACATACAGATACAAGAGCTGTTCAAAAGGGAAATATATGTTTCCTTGTAGACGCTTTTTTAGCGGAGTCTGGATGGCTGTCTATTGGGAGAGATTAGATTATGTTCTCTGCTTGGTAGGACTGGAGCGCCTCTTCCAATTTTAGGATTGTATTATTCAGGAGTCATTCGTTCCCTCGTTGTCTCAGTCTGGGCTTCTGTGGGGGTCTCTCTTCCTGTCCTTGGTGACGTGCGCTTGTGTTTCTCTTCCCCACAGACGCGCCACTTTGCTACGCAGCCGGCCTTCTCCACCAGCGCTCCGGAACATGGCCAGTACCAAGGCGGCCAGTCCGGTCACAGCCCTTACGCTGTGGGACAGAGCCAGCACACGGTTCCCGTCAGCTATGCCAGCAGCCAGTCCATCCGAGGTGAGGAGGGTCGGCCGAGTTACAAACATCCGACTTACAAACGTCTCCTAGTTCAGAACAGGGGCTGAGGCAACAGGAAGTGAGATAACTCTCCCCCTCAAAAGGAAGGGAAAATCAGTCCTGGAAGATGTATTGTCGAAGGCTTTCATGACCGGAATCACTGTGTTGTTGTAGGTTTTTTCGGGCTATATGGCCATGATCTAGAGGCATTCTCTCCTGACGTTTTGCCTGCATCTATGGCAAGCATCCTCAGAGGTAGTGAGGTCTGTTGGAACTAGGAAAAGGGGTTGATATATCTGTGGAATGACCAGGGTGAGACAAAGGACTCTTGTCTACTGTCACTACCTCTGAGGATGCTTGCCATAGACGCAGGCGAAACGTCAGGAGAAAATGTCTTTAGAACATGGCTATATAGCCCGAAAAAACCTACAGCAACCCAGTCCTGGAAGAGTTATTATCCTGGCGAGAAGGGGGTCTCCACTGAAGCTTTGTCGCCAATCCTTGTTTCTAAAACAAGCCACATTTTTCATAATCCCATTCTCACCAGGACGGAGAATGGGATTATGAAGCAGGGTCACAGGCAGCAAAACATACACCACAGGGAGGGTTAACCCTTCCCTATATTTGTGTGTGTGTGTGTAGGGCTGGAGTTACACTTTAAAATGTTCCTGTTCCAACTTATATACAAATTCAACTGAACAACAAACTTACAGAGTCTCTCTTATACATAACTTGGGGACTGCCTGCACTATGATTTATTTACACTGTGATTAATAGTGTTAGTATATGTAAGTAAAGGTAAAAGTTTCCCCTTGACATTAAATCCAGTCGTGTCCGTCTCTGAGGGGAGGGGGTGCTCATTTCCATGTCTAAGCCGAAGAGCCGGCGTTGACCATAGACACCTTCCAAGGTCATGTGGCCAGCATGACTGCATGGAGTGCTGTTTACCTTCATAGAATCATAGAATCAAAGAGTTGGAAGAGACCTCATGGGCCATCCAGTCCAACCCCCTGCCAAGAATTAGGAATATTGCATTCAAATCACCCCTGACAGATGGCCATCCAGCCTCTGTTTAAAAGCTTCCAAAGAAGGAGCCTCCACCACACTCTGGGGCAGAGAGTTCCACTGCTGAACGGGGCAGAGAGTTCCACTCCTTCGGGGCAGAGAGTTCCACTCCTTCCCGCAGAAGTGGTACCTATTGACCTACTTACATTTGGATGTTTTTGAACTATTAGGTTGACCAAATCTGGAGCTAACAGTGGGAGCTCACCCCGCTCCCTGGATTTGAACCACCAACCTTTTGGTCAACAAGTTCAGTAGCTCAGTGGTTTAACCCGCTGTGCCACTGGAGGCCCCATAGTGTTAGCATTCTTTTTTGTATGTTTTTTGCCAGTCCTGGACCAACTTGGGCCTTCCCTCCAGGTGTTTTGGACTTCAACTCCCACAATTCCTAACAGCCGGTAGGCTGTTAGGAATTGTGGGAGTTGAAGTCCAAAACACCTGGAGGGAAGGCCCAAGTTGGCCCGTGCCTGAGGTAGCTCCACCCTAAGAATCACAGATGTGATTGGAATGTATATGAGTTTTAAATGTAGCATTGATCACGGGTAACATGATGATGATGATGATGACAACTTGAGATTGGAGAAAATGTCTTCCTCTCTTTTCCTTCCAGGTCCCTCGGCCTTCCCGACCATGCAGTACCTGTCGCAGCAGCAACCAGGCTACAGCATCCACAGCCACTTCCCCACCGCCCAGCCAGGTGAGTCCACACCCCATGTCCCCCGGCTGTTAGGAATGGTGGGAGTTGAAGTCCAAAAGACCTGGAGGGCCCAAGTTTGTCCAATGCCTGCTTGAGGGGTGTTGTTTCCTGCCCCAGGCCGGTCCTTTCCTGCAATACATTTCTCCTCCTTCCCTGCTCTGTGTCCCTTCTAGGTTTCATCCCTCCCAGCACCACCATCCCGCTCCAAAAGCAACTGGAGCATGCCAACCAGCAGTCGGGGTTTACTGATTCGGTGAGTGTGTGTGTTTACTGTGAGTGATACAGAAATTATGGTGCGACTTACCATCATCAATTTATTTATTTATTTGTTTGTTTGTTTGTTTGTTTGTTTATTTTGGGCATTTCTACTCCGCCCTTTTCACCCCCGAGGGGGGACTCAGGGCGGCTTACATCTGGCACAATTCGATGCCAACAATTACAATAAAAATGCAATAACAATAAACACAATAGTTAAAAACATACAATTAATACAATATCAACTAAAAAAGCCGATCTACAGCCCCCGTTTATCGAGTTCTAAATTCTGTCAATCCATTTAGCATTACCATAGTCCTTTCCAACTCTAGTCATCATTACCTTGTTAGTCTGCCAGATTACCCAAATGCCTGGTCCCATATCCATGCCTTCAGCTTCCTTCTGAAGGAGAGGAGGGATGTTGATGACCTAATTTCCCCGGGGAGTGAATTCCACAGGCGAGGGGCCACCACTGAAAAGGCCCTGTCCCTCGTCCCCACCAGCCTCACTTGTGATAGAGGTGGGGCCAAGAGCAGGGCCTCCCCAGAAGATCTTAAACTCCGCAGTGGGACATAGAAGGAGATACGTTCGGACAGGTACACTGGGCCAGAGCCGTATAGGGTTTTATAGGTCAAAACCAGCACTTTGAATCGTGCTCGGAATTGGATCGGCAGCCAGTGGAGCTGACATAGCAAAGGAGTGGTGTGCTCCCTGTATTAGTCTGGCTGCTGCCCATTGGACTAGTTGAAGTTTCCGAACAGTCTTCAAAGGCAACCCCACATAGAGTGCATTGCAGTAATCTATTTGGGAGATAACAAGAGCGTGGACCACTGTGGCTAGATCATACTTCCCAAGGTATGGGCGCAGCTGGCGCACAAGTTTTAATTGTGCAAAAGCTCTCCCGGCATCTTAGAATCAATGGCATCTTAGAATCGGAAAAATACAATAGCTGTGTAGTATGTAGTATTATACATCCCACAAATTTGCTTGTTTGTTTTATTACCGCTGTTTTATTTCTTCCTTGAATAGAAATTAGAGTTTGGGAGGGGATGTAACACTATATATATAACTGCTGCTCTGGGACCAGAGTGAAGAGAGGGGGTCAGGAAGACAGTTCCACCTTGTCTCCTGCACTGTGCTAATAATGCAATATAATATAATATAATATAATATAATATAATATAATATAATATAATATAATATAATATAATATATACATATAATATTGATATTATTATAATGTAACACAATATAATAATAATATATGATATTTATATATTTTGTATTACATGCAAGTTTACTGATAATATTACAGTATAATGGTATAGTACAATAAAAATGTAATGTTCGTTTGTGGGATTAACATAACTCAAAAACCACTGGACGAATTGATACCAACCTTGGACACAATACACCTATCAGGCCAATGAGTGTCCATCACCCCTAAAAACACACAAAACAAAACCCAGCAGAACGGACTTAAGCCCCCCCAAAATAAAATATATATACATACACACATAAAATACATATACACATACATACAGACACACACATATATGTACACAAGCACACATACATATAGACATACACATATATACATAAGCACACATATACACAATATACATATACAATATAAACACAGAAATACACAAATATATACACGCGTATACACACATATATACAGACATATGCACACACACATATACACCCATCTATCTATATATTTGTGTATATATGTGTGTGTATAGGTGTGTTTGCATAGATAGATAGATAGATAGATAGATAGATAGATAGATAGATAGATAGAGATACACACACACACACACAAACATATATACAGACTGGGCCACAGCAACGCGTGGCAGGGGACGGTTAGTAGTAATATATAATACTAATATTGTGTTATGGTAATAATATATGGTATTTACATATTACTTGTAAGCCACTCTTGAGTCCCCTTTGGAGTGAGAAGGGTGGCATATAAATGTCATAAATAAACAAACAAATAACTAAACAAAATTTCAAAAATGTTCTGTTCCTGGTTTGAAAGCATTATTTCCTGTTTAATTGTGCTGTACTTACTTTGAAAATAGTTGTTCTACTCCAGAAACTTTGTTTTTGTGGCTGTCACAAATTATGTTGAATTGATTGAGACTCGATGAGATGTTCATTGAAAAACTAGAGCTGTTAGGAATTGTGGGAGTTGAAGTCCAAAACACCTGAAGGGCTGAAGTTTGCCCATCCCTGCCTAATTGAAGGGGAAGCGTCCTGGAGTCTTCCTTCTTTCCTCACCTCTTGTTCTCTGTCGTTGCTCTCCTAGTCGACCCTGCGCCCCATGCACCCCCAGGCCCTGCACCCCAACCCGGGCCTCCTGCAGGGACCCCAGATCCCTGTCCAGATGCAAACAGCAGCCAAGGTAAGCTCAAGGGTCAGGGGCCTCATTTCTGCCATCCTCCCTTCCCTGGCTTCTACTTTGCTCTCTCCATCCCTTTAAGTTACTGAATCAGAGGATCCCTGATTGACTTCTCTTCCTATCCTTGCTGTAAATTTGTGAAAGTCCTACTGAGGCCTACTAACACTGAGGGCTCTCTCAGATTGACACCTCTCTCACACTGAGGTGAACTAACACTGAGGCCTTTCTCTTGCTGAGGCCTTCTCACACTGAGGGCTCTCTCAGATTGACACCTCTCTATCCTTGCTGTAAATTTGTGAAAGTCCTACTGAGGCCTACTAACACTGAGGGCTCTCTCAGATTGACACCTCTCTCACACTGAGGTGAACTAACACTGAGGCCTTTCTCTTGCTGAGGCCTTCTCACACTGAGGGCTCTCTCAGATTGACACCTCTCTCACACTGAGGTGAACTAACACTGAGGCCTTTCTCTTGCTGAGGCCTTCTCACACTGAGGGCTCTCTCAGATTGACACCTCTCTCACACTGAGGTGAACTAACACTGAGGCCTTTCTCTTGCTGAGGCCTTCTCACACTGAGGGCTCTCTCAGATTGACACCTCTCTCACACTGAGGCGAACTAACACTGAGGCCTTCTCATACTGCTTAGTTGCTGCATCCATTGAACCCTTTCAGTTCTTGACTCACATTTTTGTAATTAAAAATACCTCCACTTGTCCTAGGGCGCTCCAGCCAAATCCAATGTAGTCTATACATCCCGTATAGACTACTGCAACGCTCTCTATGTGGGGTTGCCTTTGAAGACTGCTTGGAAGCTTCAAATGGTCCAGCGTTTGGCAGCCAGGTTGTTAACAGGAACGGCACTCAGGGAGCATACGACTCCTCTGTTGCGCCAGCTCCACTGGCTGCCAGTTTGCTACCGGGCACAATTCAAAGTGCTGGCGTTAGCCTATAAAGCCCTAAACGGTTCTGGCCCTACTTACCTCTCCGAACGCATCTCCTCCTATGAACCAACTAGGACATTAAGATCATCTGGGGAGGCCCTGCTCTTGGTCCCGGCATCACAGGCGCGCCTGGTGGGGACGAGAGACAGGGCCTTCTCAGTGGTGGCCCCTCGGCTATGGAATGCCCTTCCTACAGATATCAGGTCTGCGTTTCGGAGGAAAGTGAAGACCTGGCTGTTCGAACAAGCATTCGATTAAGCAGTGTAATGAATATAGGAATACGGAATAATGGATGATGAGATTGGATTCTGATTTTACTGATGAGACACTAATGATTGTTATATTGATGTTTAATCATTGATGATGCTACTGTTTTTGTCCCATAATCGTTTTGTGATGTTTTTGCATTGAATTTTGCTGTTGTTAACCGCTTTGAGTCGCCTGAGGGCTGAGAAAAGCGGTATATAAATGAAGTAAATAAATAATAATAAATAAATGGGTTCAAAGAGAAAGGCCTAGAGAGGGAGGAAACTGGATGGAGGGCGGGAAGAAATAAAGAAGAGGTTGAGGAAGGAAAAAGGAGAGGAAAGTAGGAGAGATGTACAGGAGGGAAAGGAGAAGGACAGAGGGTGAAAAGAGAAATGTCAAAGAGGGAAAGATGAGGAAAAGGAGAGAAATATCAAGGAGGGAAGATAGGAGTGAAACATAGAAGAGGAAAAGGAGGAAAAAGAAGAGCAAAATGTTAAGGAGCTGAAGGAGGGGGAAAGTAGTCGGAAAAGAAGGAGAGAAGGTAGGAGTGAAATGTAGAAGAGGAAAAAGAAGTGGTGGCAAATGTCAAGAAGCTAAAGGAGGGGGGGAAGTAGGAGGAAAAGGAAACATCAAGGAAGGAAGATAGAAGCCTAGAGGAAAAGGGAGAAGGAAAAGAGGGAGGAAGTAAGAAGGAAACAAGGATAAGTAGGAGTAAAAAAAGAGAGAAAGAGGAAAAGGAGGAGGAAAGTGTCAAGGAGTCAAAGAAAGAGGAATAGTAATAGAAAAACACAGAGGAGAGGTAGGAGGGAAATAGGAAGGAAAAGTGGAAGGGAAACAGTAAGGAAAGGGAAGAGGAAATCTCTGCTCCTTGTTGATTTGGGGGCATGACTCCTATATATATATATACACACACACACATATACATCCTGTTTGTCTCCCTAACAGCCCACTTTGGCCTACACGCATCCCGCTCGGCCCGCCTCCCCCGGCAGCTTCTCCCACGGGACCGCCCCCCAGCAGCCCCACACGGTAAGCCTTGGGACCCTCGCCCCTTTGGGGATTAGAACGGCTTCTCCAGAAGGAAGGACGGGGTTTGGTTGTGTCCCTTTCTGCCCACTCCTTAACTGTTTTCTTCCCACCCTTTGCCTTGCAGTCCGGCTTCCAGGCTTCGCCGCAGCCAGCCCCCCGGCACCCCTTCATCCAGCACCCCAGCCAGGGCCAGCGCTTCTACCACAAGTGAGGAGGGGGCCTTCCCTCTCCGGTCTTTCCCAGCCCCCTCCAGCTTGAAGAAACATAACTTTCACCGCTCGTGTGTGTCTGTAGCTTTGTTCTTCCCTCATTCTTGCTGAAATTTGTGAAAGCCAGAGCAAATACATTTTGTGCGAATCATTTGGAGCCAAGGTGGGTCTTGTTTCCTTTTTGTAATCCTTCAGTATCATGATAAAAGCTACCAAGAGTCCTAAAGAGGACGTGAAATGCAGAAGATTCCACTCCTTTTGCCTTGAATGGGGCTTGGAATCCATTCCCCTTGTTTATTTATTTACCACTAGCCGTCCCCTGCCACACGTTGCTGTGGCCCACTCTGGTGGTCATGGGGGTTCTTTGTGGGAGGTTTGGCCCAATTCTATCATTGGTGGGGTTCAAAATGCTCTGTGATTGTAGGTGAACTATATATCCCAGCAACTACAGATTCTATTTTCCCCAAACTCCACCAGTGTTCACATTTGGGCATATTGAGTATTCGTGTGGAGTTTGGTCCAGATCCATCATTGTTTGAGTCCACAGTGCTCTCTGGATGTAGGTGAACTACAAATCCAAAACTAAAGGACAATGCCCACCAAACCCTTCCAGTATTTTCTGTTGGTCATGGGAGAACTGTGTGCCAAGTTTGGTTCAATTGCATCGTTGGTGGGCATCAGAATGCTCTGTGATTGTAGGTGAACCATATATCCCAGCAACTACAACTCCCAAATGTCAAAATTCTATTTTCCCTAAACTCCACCACTGTTCACATTTGGGCATATTGAGTATTCGTGTGGAGTTTGGTCCAGATCCATCATTGTTTGAGTCCACAGTGCTCTCTGATGTAGGTGAACTACAACTCCAAAACTAAAGGACACTGCCCACCAAACCCTTCCAGTATTTTCTGTTGGTCATGGGAGAACTATGTGCCAAGTTTGGTTCAATTGCATCGTTGGTGGGCATCAGAATGCTCTGTGATTGTAGGTGAACCATATATCCCAGCAACTACAACTCCCAAATGTCAAAATTCTATTTTCCCTAAACTCCACCAGTGTTCACATTTGGGCATATTGAGTATTCTTGCCAAGTTTGGTCCAGATCCATCATTGTTTGAGTCCACAGTGCTCTCTGAATGTAGGTGAACTACAACTCCAAAACACAAACACTTCCAGTATTTTCTCTTGGTCATGGGGATTCTGTGTGCCAAGTTTGGTTCAATTCCATCGTTGGTGGGGTTCAGAATGCTCTTTGATTGTAGGTGAACTATAAATCCCAGCAACTACAACTCCCAAATGACAAAATCATTTTTTTTTGAGTGAAGGACATACATTGGGTTGCTAGGTGTCTTGTCTCCAAATTTGGTGTCAATTCCCTCAGTGGTTTTTGAGTTCTGTAAATCCCACAAACTAATATTACATTTTTATTTCTCTAGATATTTATACTCCGCCCTTCTCAACTCCAAAGGCGTCTCAAGGTGGTTTTTCATATAGGCAACTATTCAAGGCCAGATATAAACCCAGAGGGAAGTTAACTTAGGCCAGAAATTAACACAAAAGAGGGGCCTGGGTGCTTGCTGAGCTGGAAACGATGTCTAGCAGAGGGGCAAAGTTCTCTCTCTCATGTTGACAACCTCGCTCTCTCTCTCTTCCGCTGGCTTTTAGTTCAAGCAAACATCGCCAGATCTGGTGAGCCTTGAAACGGCTGGAGCTCCAGTGCAGCTTAAACTCCCTCCAAACTTATTTGGAGGCTGTTAGGAATGGTGGGAGTTGCAGTCCAAAACACCTCAAGGGAGGACCCAAGTTTGCCCATGCCTGCTTATACATCTATATAAATAAAAATGTCATGTTAGTTCGTGCTACCATCAGAACTCAAAAACCACTGGGGGAATTGACACCAAATTCGGACACAAGACACCTGACAGTCCAATTTATGTCCTCCACTCATAAAAACACTGAAAAACACAGCAGAAGGGACTTAAAAGCCCCCCAAAAAGTAAATGATGAAAAGCTCAATGACAATACAGAAAAAAGGGAAGAAAGAGGGAGGAAAGGGGAGAAAAGAAAGAAAAGAAGTAAGAGGGAGGAGGAAAGGGAAGAAATAAAGGGAGAAGGAAGCATGGAAGCAAAGAGAGAAGGAAGGAAAGAGGTAGAGAAGGAAGAAAGGAGAGAAGGAAAGAAAAAAGGGAAAGAAGGAAAGGCAGAGAGGGAAGAAAGGAGAGAGGGAAGGAAAGTTAGAAGGAAAGAAAAATGGGAAAGGAGAGGGAGCGAAAGAGGGAGGGAAGTAAGGAAGGAGAGAAGAAAGGAGAGACAGCAGAAGAGAAAGAAAAAGGGGGAAGGAAGGAAAGAGATAGAGAAGGAAGAAGAGAAGGAAAGATGGGAAGGAAGGAAGGAAAGAGGGAAACTAGGAGAGAAAGAGGGAAGGTTGGCCACAGCAAAGTGTGGCGGTTACACCTAGTTGATCTCTGGAACAGGCATGGGCAAACTTTTTCGGAGGCAGAAAGCAAAGGAAAGTATGGGTTGCTTACCTGTAACCATGTTTCTCCGAGTGGTCACCTGTGCAGTTGGGCTGTTACATCTGACAAGAACACCGTAGAAGCCTCTCTCTTCTGATAGGTTTTGCCTTTTGGCTGTGCGTCCTCCCCTCATGTTTTTACTAAGTGTATAGCCACAGTTATGGCCCGCCTTCGCCTTAAGCTGTAGAACAGCCCATTTGTACTGGTCGAGAGATCGAGGTCTCGGCTCATCTCTCACGTTCCACCTGCCTTGGGCCTTCTCCAGACTTGGCCTCAGGGTCAAGAAGGAGAAGTTTATTGGAGCTATGCTGAATTTGGAGGCCCAAATGGCCCACCTTCCTGAGCAATCGGTCCCCTTCCTCCTCCTCCTCCTCCTCCACGGCACACCCTTTGAAACCTGAACACATTGTCCTCATGTTCACTCTCTAGCTTCTCTTCTCACAACTAAACATCCCACAGGAGGAAAGGAGGGAGGGACAAAAGAAGGAAGGAAAGAGGGAAGGGAAGGGAGTAAAGAGGGAAAGAAGGAAAGACAAAAGGGAAGGAAGGAAAGAAAGAAGGGGGGAGGAAAGAAGGAAAGACAAAAGGGAAAGAAGGAAGGAGAAAGAGGGGGAGGGAGGAAGGAAAGAGGGAAGGAAGGAAAGACAGGAGGGAAGGAGGGAGGGAAGAAGGTAAGAAAGACAGAAGGAAGGAAGGAGAAAGGGAAGGAAGGAGAAAGAGAGGGAAGGAGGGAGGAAAGAGGGAAAGAAAGACAAAAAGGAAGGAACGGGAAAGAGAGGGAAGGAGGAAGGAAAGGGAAGGAAGGAAAGACAAAAGGGAAGGAAGGAGAAGGGGGAGGAAAGACTAAAGGAAGGCCAAAACAGAAGGAGGGAGGAAAGAGGGAAGGCGGGAAGGAGGAAGACTGAGTTAAGGAAAGGAGGAGGAGGAAAGAAGAAGGAAGGAAAGTGGAGAGAGGAGAGGAGGGCCTGAGAAAAGAGCCCAAGGGGGCTCACCCAGCCCCCAAGCCTGGTTTTGCCCATACCTGCTATAAGGTGATCGTACCCAGTCTCCTGGCCCTGTGCCTGCTTAGAATGAGACTTCCTATAGCAAAAACCGGCCCCTCCTTCGGCAGCACAACTGTCCTCCTCCCCCTCTGCTCTCGAGACCCCCCCCCTCCACAAACGACACAAAACCAGGGATGTTTTTTTTCATATTAAACTTGTTTCTGTTTTTATTTGAGGTTGATTAACAAATGTGTTGGATTAACACAGGGGGGGGAGGAAGGGGGGGAGGCCACAGCACTGGCCCGTGAACAGCAGAAGAGAGTAAATATGAACCAAGGAAACAGTCGGGGGGGGGGGGGGGTCTAGGTGTTCACCCCGCAAAGATCCCTACCTGGCACAGCTCTTGGGGAAGGGGATGCAGTTACCCAGAATGCGAAAGAGGGAAAGAGGAGGAGGAAGGGGAGAGGGGCTATCTCCCGGGGCCCGGCGGCAACTACGGCACTAGAGCAAAGAGGAGGAAGAAAGGGGAGGCATTGAACATGATTGGAGAGGCAAAAGGGGGTCCCTTCCTGCAACCGAGAGGCAAAAGGGAGCTCCGATGTGCTCCGAAAGGCAGTGGAGAGAAGGGGAGGGGGTTTTGGGATGGGGAGCAACCGGAGAAGCGGTCCCCCAAAAGGAAACGCCAAAGAAGCCCTGAAGCACAATAGAAAGGATGCTCCCTTAAGGAGGACAGGCCGCAGCCGCCGAAGATGGAAGGAAGGAAGGAAGGAAGGAAGGAAGGAAGGAAGGAAGGGAGGAAGAGGAGGAAAGAAGGCAGAAAAGACCCCCCCCCCCCCCCTTCGGACGCCTCAATCTCTCCCCCTCCCCAAAACAACACCACCACCACCACCTCTCTCTCTCTCTCTATATATATATATATATAGAAGCATGGAAACTAATAATAAAAAATTAAACATGAGTCTTTTGTCATTGTTTTCTTCCTCCTCCTAGCCATTTTAAATATTTTTTTTCCTTTTTTAAGTGCAAAATTCTCAACTTTCTCTTGCCAGAAAACAGCTGTAGTGTCACTAGCACCCATGAGGGGAAACAGGGAAGGAAGGAAAGGAGGGAGGAAGAAGAAGAAAAATAATAATAGCATCATGATAACAAAATAGTATCAGCATCCAGCTTTCTTTCTTTCTTTCTGTTTTCCTTTCAAAAAGACCACAAAATAAAAAGATTTATTTTCTTTTTTTTGTTTTAATTCAAAAGGGAGGGTGGTGGAAGGTTTCGCTTTCTGGTTGGTTGTTTTTTTTTTTCTCGTTTTTTTGTTGTTGTTTTAATGGAAGGGGGGAAAAAAGAGAAAAAAAAAGATCTGGGTGGTTTTGGAGCGAAATCTGACAGCCTGCGGGTTGCGATCCTCTCTGGTTCATAACAAGTTGGAGCTGCTGCTGCTGCCGCCGCTGTTGGTTTTGCTGCTGCTGCTGCTGCTGCCGCCCTGGAAGGGGAAAGCGGGGGGCCTCAAAAGATGGCCCCTCTTGCCCAGACCCAAGGAAGAGGACCACCAAACCCCAGCTCCCTGGATTGCGCGCTCCTTGCGCTTTGTCTCGGACTCCAGGCCGGTCCCCACTCGCCCCAGAACTCACCTGTGGTTCCTTTATTTAGCCATGGCCTTGATAGCAACAGCGGCTTCCTCGGTCATTGCAGACAGTACGGTGATCTGGGGAGGGACGAGGAGGGACATCAACACGTGGCATCCATGGATGGGATTTATAGTATTTATTTTTATTTATTTATTTCGCGCATTTCTACCCTGCCCTTCTCCCCCCAAGGGGGGGGGGGGGGCTCAGGGCGGCTTAGAAAAGGCACAATTCGATGCCAACACAATAAGATAAACAGCAATTATAAACAATTAAAACAATCAATTATACATCATAATCAATAAAACAATCTAATGCTCAACGTTCGCCAGCTCAGAGTCCGTAAATTCATTCCACATTGTCAAATCCTATCAATTTAGTATCCAGGCAGGGGCCAATTTTGGCCCTCCAGGTATTTTGGACCTCAACTCATAGTATCATAATAATAATAATAATAATAATAATAATAATAATAATAATAATAATAATAATGGGTTGTTGTAGGTTTTTTCGGGCTATATGGCCATGGTCTAGAGGCATTCTCTCCTGACGTTTCGCCTGCATCTATGGCAAGCATCCTCAGAGGTAGTGAGGTCTGTTGGAAGTAGGAAAAGGGGTTTATATATCTGTGGAATGACCAGGGTGGGACAAAGGCTCTTGTCTGCTGGAGCAGACAACAACAACAACAACAACAACAATAATAAAGGGTTGTTGTAGGTTTTTTCGGGCTATATGGCCATGGTCTAGAGCAGTGGTTCTCAACCTGGGGTCCCCAGATGTTTTTGGCCTTCAACTCCCAGAAATCCTAACAGCTGGTAAACTGGCTGGGATTTCTGGGAGTTGTAGGCCAAAAACATCTGGGGACCCCAGGTTGAGAACCACTGTTAGAGAGAGTTCATGTCTGATTGCCTGTTTCAGACCCCATCCCTGTTGTTGGAACTAGGAAAAAGGGTTTATATATCTGTGGAATGACCAGGGTGGGACAAAGGACTCTTTTCTGCTGGAGCATAATAATAATAATAATAATAATAATAATAATAATAATAATAATAATAATCCAGACTGACAAAGTTTTGGAGCACAATACACCAGACATCACGATTGTGGAAAAGAAAAAAGTCTGGATTATTGATTTATTATTATTATTATTATTATTATTATTTATTTACTTAATTTATATACCACTTTTCTCAGCCCTCAGGCGACTCAAAGCAGTTAACAACAGCAAAATTCAAAGCAAAAACAACACACAACGAATATGGGACAGTTAAAAACAGTAGCATCATCCACAATTAAACATCAATAATAATATAATATATTGATGTCGCCATTCCAGGTGACAGCCACATTGAGGAAAAACTCAGCCGCTATCAAGACCTCAAAATCGAACTACAAAGGTTCTGGCATAAACCAGTCCAGGTGGTTCCAGTGGTCATTGGCACACTGTGTGCCGTGCCAAAAGATCTCAGCCGGCATTATTTTTCTGGTTAATTAATATTTAATGTTATTTTACTTAAGTGATATTTGTCTTGACTGTACTACTGTAGCACGAATCCTATGTAAAATCATACTACGCATTTTTGACATTAATATTGAAATCTGAAATATATACAGAAAATCACGATCTGTCAACTGCAAAAGGCCACCTGACTTGGATCTGCACGCATCATTTGGAAATACATCACACAGTCCTAGATGCTTGGGAAGTGTTCGACTTGTGATTTTGTGATACGAAATCCAGCACATAGATCTTGTTTGCTGTGACATACTGTGCTTTTGTGTCAATAATAATAATAATAATAATAATAATAATAATATTTATTTATACCCCGCCACTATCTCCCCAAAGGGGACTCGGGCGGCTTACATGAATCAGACACAATCACAGTAAGCGGGCCACATGTAGAGTTGAAAGAGACCACGTAGGCCATCCAGTCCAACCTCCTGCCATGCAGGGAAAGCATAAACAAAGCACCCCAACAGATGGCCATCCAGCCTCTCTTTAAAAGCCTCCAAAGGAGGAGCTTCCACCACACTCTGGGACAGAGAGTTCCACTGCTCAACAGCTCTCCTTACAGTCAGGAAGTTCTTCCCAATGTTCAGGTGGAATCTCCTTTCCTGTACTTTGAAGCCATTGCTTCATGTCCCAGTCTCCAGGGCGGCAGAAAACAAGCCTGCCCCCTCCTCCCTGTGACTTCCCCTCACATATTTATCCATGGCCATCCTCATGAGTCCTCTCCACCTTCTCTTCCTCAGGCTAAATATGCCCTGCTCTTTAAACCGTTCCTCATAGGGCTTGTTCTCGAGACCCTTGATCATTTTAAGGCTTTGTACGGTTTATATATATTTTATATCATATGCTATTGTTTTTAACAGGAATTCTTTGTTGTTTTTACTTATTTTAATTGTTGAGGCATCGAATTGTTGCCAAATTGTGAACTGCTCTGAGTCGCCTCTGTAAATACTTTTCTGTCTCTCTATGAGTTCTCCCTTACAAACAGTTCTGCCCCTTTATCTCACCCTGAGTTTTTAAATCATTTTAGGTACACGCGGCCCGCTCTCTGTCATTATGTTTCGTTTCTATGTTTTGTGTATATTGTTCATATGCTTTGGTGTTTTATACTTTATTGTTATGTTGTTTATTTTATTGCAATTTGTATTTTTTGTATTGTAATTTGTTGTTCGGGCTCGGTCCCACATAAGCCGCTCCGAGTCACCGTTGGGGGAGATGGTGGCGGGGTATAAATAAAGTTCATTATTATTATATTATTAGAGTAAAATAAATAAATAAAGTAAATTTTAGTAGCCTTCTCTGTAAACATTCCCAGAGTCCGGACACAACTAGACTTAATGTCAGGAGAAACCTTGAACTTGGGTTTCATATTTGCTTTTATTTGCCACCCTAGATTCAGAATCCTAGAGATAGAAGAAATTCCAAGGGCCACCCAGTCCAACCTCCTTCTGTCAGGAAGGAAGGCATAGTCAAAGCCCTCCCAAGAGATGGCCATCCAGCCTCTGATCAAGTCTCCAAAGAAGGACACTTTGCCAGAGTGCCAGGCAGTGTATTCCAACGTCAAACACCTTCAAGGAGGGATGGCAGCATGCAAAGAACTAGCACAGACCAGGCATAGGCAAGCTGTGGCCCTCCAGGTGTTTTGGACTTCAACTCCCACCATTCCTAACAGCCTCAGGCCCCTTCCTTTTCCCCCTCAGCCGCTTAAGCGGCTGAGGGGAAAAAGGAAAGGGCCTGAGGCTGTTAGGAATGGTGGGAGTTGGAGTCCAAAACACCTGGAGGGTCACAGCTTGCCCATGCCAACCCTAGACTGCCTCTTCTTACCAGGATTTCTTCGCCACAGTCGTATTTCTGTTCGATCTCCTTGCCCAGGTCTCCCTCAGGAAGGCGCAGATCCTCCCGGACCTCCCCGCTGTCCTGGAGCAGGGAAAGGTACCCATCCTGGATCCCAATGAGCTGCAAGGAAAATTATAGGGAGAGAGAACTGTCAGCAAGGAAAGAACAATTTGTGGCTAATGCCAACCTTTTTGGAGGGGTAACACCAGGCCCTGGGAAAAAAAGCGTCCGGATTTGCCACCACAAACACCATTTTGGTCTATGTTGCAATTGGAAAGCGTAAACACAAGAGGTGCCATGAGGGCACTGCCCTCATTAATTACATCCTCCTCCAGTCTCCACATTTCTGGTATTATAGATAGCCAGGCGCTGAGCATCACTTACAACAAGAATTCTGCATTCCATTACTCACTTTGCCTACTCTTTTCTTTGGGTGCCTAAGAACTATTTCTAATCCACCGAATCATAGACCTCGTCTGCGCAGGGTTCCATACTTTGCACTTTAACAACACAGCCGTTCAATGCTAAAGCTTTCCGCCAAAATGGAACTATAGAGGAGAGTCTACTGAACAAGCCAGTACCTGCTGCATATCAGTACTGCTATCTGTTGAGGAGTTACGAAAGAGGAGGCATTACTTTTCATTCAACCCTCATAGAATCAATGCATTGGAAGAGACCTCATGGACCATCCAACCCAACCCCATTCTACCAAGAAGCAGGAAAATCGCATTCAAAGCACCCCCGACAGATGGCCATCCAGCCTCTGCTTCAAAACCTCTAAAAAAGGAGCCTCCACCACACTCCGAGGCAGAGAGTTCCACTGCTGAACTGCTCTCACAGTCAGGAAGTTCTTCCTCATGTTCAGGTGGAATCTCCTTTCTTGTAATTTGTATTTAAAGTTGTTTTTATTATTGTTACTAGCCGCCCCCTGCCACGCGTTGCTGTGGCCCACATGGGGGTTCTGTGTGGGAGGTTTGGCCCAATTCCATCGTTGGTGGGGTTCAGAATGCTCTTTGATTGTAGGTGAACTATACATCCCAGCAACTACAACTCCCAAATGTCAAGATCCTATGTTCCCCAAACTCCACCAGTGTATGCATTTGGGCATATTGAGTATTTGTGTAGTTTGGTACAGATCCATCATTGTGAGTCCACAGTGATCTCTGGATGTAGGTGAACTACAACTCCAAAACCAAAGGACACTACCCACCAAACCCTTCCAGTATTTTCTGTGGTCATGGGAGAACTGTGTGCCAAGTTTGGTTCAATTCCATCGTTGGTGGGGTTCAGAATGCTCTTTGATTGTAGGTGAACTATAAATCCCAGCAACTACAACTCCCAAATGACAAAATCAATTTTTTTTGTGATGGGCATACATTGGGTTGTTAGGTGTCTTGTGTCCAAATTTGGTGTCAATTCATCCAGTGGTTTATGAGTTTTGTTAATCCCACAAACGAACATTACATTTTTTTTATTTATATAGATTGTCGTTACAGGTAGAATAACATCGCAAACAAACATTATTAGGTATTGAATTACTGAATTACATTATAAATCTTTCTTGTAATTTGAAGCCATTGCTCAGCGTCCCTGTCTCCAGAGCAGTAGAAAACAAGTTTGTTCCTTCCTCCCTATGACTTCCCCTCACATATTGATGCATAGCTATCATATCTCCTCTCAGCCTTCTCTTCTTCAGGCTAAACATGCCCAGCTCTTTAAGCCGCTCCTCATAGGGCTTCTTCTCCAGACCCTTGATCATTTAGTCACCTTCCTCTGGACACATTCCAGCTTGTCAGTATCTCTCAATATCTCTAATCAACTGAAGTTTATAGTTTTCAGTTACGGCAATGCTAGGAACGCAGAGACCAAAGAAAAATTTCCCTGGGACAGAATGCTTATTGGAATGGATAACAGAATAATAAGTAAATTTGACTTAAGAGTATAAGCCAAGGGGAACTTTTTTCAGCCTTAAAAAAGGGCTAAAAACTCAGCTTATACTCAAGTAAATACGATACTCATTAAGGATTGGCGAAGAAAATTAGTCGAATATATTTGAATGGCCAAGATCTCCAATGGCATGAGGGGAGGAAAGAAAGAAGAATTTGCAAGAAAATGGGGGCTTGCCTTTGGGTATTAAAAAAGAAGACAAAAATAGATCTTGAAATAGCTGGACAGGGAGTGTATTAGTGTAATGGTAAGGACAGACTTTTGCAAGATAGCAATTCCATATGGTGTGGTGTCAGAAGTCATGGGTGGGAATGGGACAGGAGAAATAATACTTGCATTTTGATGGCTGAATTTTGCAGATTCATTTCTTTTTTTCATATATCACCAAAAAAAACCCTGAATTTAAAAACACTCTTTTGAGAGGCAGGAAATGCCACTTGTAACAGTGACAAGTCGTGCTCTCCCAAGAGTTAGGAAAGTTAGGAAAGTTCTTGCGACCTCCATGACTGCTCACCCTGGCACATCACTTGGTATATAGCCCAAATCTTACAGGACTGAGGCAAGAAGAATCCCATAAGAACCGTGGGAGATGCTGACCAAAGCGGAAACAGGTGAAGAGGGAGAGAGGGAGGGAGGGAAGGAGAATGTGGCTGAAATTACACCTCTGGACGCTGTCCACTCTGGCTGGCTGACCAGCGGCTCCCTTTGGCATTTCAACTGGGATCTGATTTAAGACGTTTCTACTAAGAGCCATCCATCCATCTTCCTTCCAAGAGCCCAACCATTATCCTAAACTAACCATTCACCTCAATGACAGTGAAGAAGCCTGAACACTCTTCTGAAAACCACTCTCCTCCAACTCACTCCCACCCTCTGTTTACCTGAAAATCATTTCTCTTAATGTTGGGCACATCCATGTTGTGGGTCGAAGGGCAGATATCTTCATATTTTTTCCCAGTGAAGATGTCTATGCCAACAAGGTGCACCTAGAAGGAAGAAAGGGGAGAAGGTTCTCAGCTCACAGAGCTTGACATTTCGCCCAGTGGATCTTTCCAAGAGGCAAGGCAAACCACATCTATCTATTTTATTTATTTATTATTTGAACTTATATGCCGCCACTCCCTTGGGGCTCGGAGTGGCTTCCAAGAATGGCTAAAATCTAACACAATTTAAAACAATTTAAAAACAGCAATATCAAACATTAAAAGCCTGTCGAAACAGGTATGTCTGACATGCTCTGCAGAAAGCTGATAAGTCCCGCAAAGCACGGACTTCAGGTGGCAGAGTATTCCAGAGTGATGGTGCCACTACTGTAAAGGCTCTGCGCCTGGTTGCTGTTAGACGCAAGGGCTTGACATTGGGAATTTCCCATAGATCTTGGTCCTCAGAACGGAGGGATCTCTGGGGTTGGTAGGGGGTGAGGCGGTCCCTTGGGTACATCGGCCCCAGACCATGCAAGGCCTTAAAGGTGAGTACCATCACTCTGAAAGTGATCCGGTGCTCAATTGGTAACCAATGCAGCTGCAGTAAGGTTGGTGTTAGGTGGCATCTCATCAGAATTCCCGCAAGAAGCCGAGCAGCTGCATTTTGTACCAACTTGAGCTTCCGGATCACCGACAGAGGAAGGCCAATGTAGAGGGCATTACAGTAGTCCAGTCTTGAGATGATCGTAGCCTGGATCACCGTAGCGAGGTCGTCCCTGGACAGGGAGGGGGGCAGCCGTCTAGCCTGCCGCAGGTGAAAAAAAGCGGTTCTGCTCACGGCGGAGACCTGGGCCTCCATCGTCAGCAGAGGGTCCAAAAGGACTCCCAGACTCTTGACCAATGATGACGGGCGTAGTGCCTCGCCGTCCAGAATAGGCAGCTGGATATCCCCACTTCCCGGTCGACCCAGCCATAGGATCTCCGTCTTTGCTGGATTCACCCTCAACCTGCTGGCACGCAGCCATCCAGTCACGGCCTCGAGGCACTGATGGAAACAATCAGGTAAATTTTATTTATTTATTTCTCGCATTTCTATCCCGTCCTTCTCAAACCCTGAAGGACGGCTTACAATGGGCCCCATTCCGAAGCCACTACATCACAAATTACAAAATTAAAACCACAATTAGACATAAAAGCATAATTAACAATACATAAGCCATCGTTAAAACAGTAAAACAGTCTCATCAGCCATATTGTCATTCCAGTCACATTTCCTTAAAGTGCTGCTTGCCTCTATTGTCCAAAAGCCTGGTCCCAAAACTAGGAGGGAGGTGGTCTACCTTACCTCAGTTGGAGGTGTGTTCCATAGGCGGGGGGCCACTGCCCAGAAGGCCCTGTCTCTCGTCTCCACCAGGTGCATTTGTACTGTTGACGGGAGCGAGAGCAGGGCCTCCCTGGATTATCTTAGGTTTCGAGGTGGGACATAGGGATGGATGTGTTCGGACAAGTAAACTGGGCCAGAACCGTATAGAGCTTTATAGGTAAAATCTATTTGCAATATCTATCTATTTGCAATATTTGTATATAGCCCTTCTCAACCTCGAAGGGGACTCAGGGCAGTTTGCAGTGTTGGCAACAATTCAATGCCCTCGATAAAAACAATATAAAACATTAAATCTTATTAAACACAGCACATAAAATAAAATCACCTATCACACAGACACATAACCGTTGTCCATAAACAGTCATAGAATCACAGACTTGGAAGTGACCTCGTGGGCCATCCTGTCCAATCCCATTCTGCCAAGAAGCAGGAAAATTGCAATCAAAGCACCCCCGACAGATGGTCATCCAACCTCTGTTTCAAAGCTTCCAAAGAAGGAGCCTCCACCACTCTGGAGCAGAGAGTTCCACTTGTGAACAGCTCTCACAGTCAGGAAGTTCTTCCTCATGTTCAGGTGGAATCTCCTTTCCTTTAGTTTGAAGCCATTGTTCCACTGTGTCCTAGTCTCCAGGGAAGCAGAAAACAAGCTTGCTCCCTCCTTCCTGTGACTTCCCCTCATATATTTATACATGGCTATCATGTCTCCTCTCGGCCCCTCTTCTGCAGGCTAAACATGCCCAGCTCTTTAAGCCACTCTTCATAGGGCTTGTTCTCCAGACCCTTGATCATTTTAGTCGCCCTCCTCTGGACACATTCCAGCGTGTCAATATCTCTCTTCAATTGTGGTGCCCAGAATTGGACACAATATTCCAGGTGTGGTCTAACCAAAGCAGGATAGAGCATGGGTAGCATGACTTCCCTAGATCTAGACACTAGGCTCCTACTGATGCAGGCCAAAATCCCATTGGCTTTTTTTGCCGCCACATCACATTTCCACATCATTGTTTCTCCCTCCAAAACCAAGAGTTGGGGGAGGAAAGGAAGGAAGAGAGAAAAAGAAAGAAAAGGAGATAGGGAAATAGAGGGTAGGAGAAAAGGAAGAAAGGTAGGTAGGTAGGTAGGAAACAGAGAGGGGAAGAATCCTGAAAGTGTGGTCAAAGTGGTCTGAACCTCAAGCTGTAGCATGACTTCCCTAGATCTACACACTAGACTCCTATTGATGCAGGCCAAAATCCCGTTGGCTTTTTTAGCTGCAGCTTCACATTGTTGGCTCATATTTAGCTTGTTGTCCACAAGGACTGCAAGATCTTTTTCACATGTCCTGCTCTAGAGCCAGGCATTGTCCTCCTTTCTGTATCTTTGCATTTCATTTTGTCTGCCTAAGTGGAGTATCTTGCATTTGTCCCCATTGAACTTTATTTTGTAAGTTTTGGCCCATCATCTCTCTAATCTGTCAAGATCGTTTTGAATTAGGTTTGTATTGTTCTTATTGATTTTATCGATTTTATGGATTTTATTGGGATAATGGCTTGAATTGTGGGAACTTGAATTATTGTACTTTTGTGATGATTGTTTTGTGTGGCAGGCATCTTAGTGTGCCTTGCAGTTGTAAGCCGCCCTGGGTCCCTTTCGGGGTGAGAAGGGCGGGGTACAAGAACCCCAAATAAATAAATAAATACATAAATAAATAAATTCTGCTCCTGTCCTCTGGAGTATTGACTCTCCCTCCCAATTTGGTGTTGTTTGAAAACTTGATGATCATGCCTTCTCACCCTTCATCTAAGTCATTAACAAGCCAAGGTTCACTGTTCCTTAAAAAATACCTATTTCTCTTTTTGCCATTCTACTTTCCCAATATCTCCATTGCTTGGCCAGTCAATACTCTATGCCAGGGGTCCTCAAACTAAGGCCTGGGGGCCAGATACGGCCCTCCAAGATCATTTACCCGGCCCTCGCTCAGGGTCAACCTAAGACTGAAATGACTTGAGAGCACACAACAACAACAATCCTATCTCATCTGGCCACAGTGGTCCACAGACTTGTTACATCGCGAATAGATTACTGCAACGCGCTCTACGTGGGGTTGCCTTTGAAAACTGTTCGGAAACTTCAGTTAGTCCAACGGGCGGCAGCCAGATTACTCACCGGAGCGTCATACAGGGAGCATACCACTCCTCTGTTATGTCAGCTCCACTGGCTGCCGATCCAGTTCCGAGCACAATTCAAAGTGCTGGTTTTGACCTATAAAACCCTATACGGCTCCGGCCCAGCGTGCCTGTCCGAACGTATCTCCTTCTATGTCCCACCTCGGAGTTAAGATATTCTGGGGAGCCCTGCTCTCGGCCCCGCCTCTATCACAAGTGAGGCTGGTAGGGATGAAGGACAGGGCCTTCTCAGTGGTGGTCCCTCGCCTGTGGAACTCACTCCCCGGGGAAATTAGGTCATCAACATCCCTCCTCTCCTTCAGAAGGAAGCTGAAAACATGGATATGGGACCAGGCCTTTGGGTAATCTGGCAGACTGACAAGCTAATGACGACCAGAATTTGGAAAGGACTATGGTAATGCTGAATGGACTTATGGATATTAGAACTCGGTGAACGTTGGCCACTAGATTGGCTTTTAATTGTTATTGTTTTAATTGATTGTTTTAACTACTGTGGTTATTGCTGTTATGTAATTTATTTGTTGAATTGTTGGCATCGAATTGTGCCGGTGTAAGCCGCCCTGAGTCCCTCCTTGGGGTTGAGAAGGGCGGGGTAGAACTGCCCGAAATAAATAAATAAATAAAACAAAAGCAGGCCAACACTTCCCACTGAAATACTAATACGTTTATATTTGTTAAAAATGTTCTTCATTTTAATTAGTGTATTGTTTTTAAGGGGGGGGGTTGCACTACAAATAAGATATATGCAGTGTGCATAGGAATTCATTCATGATTTTTTCAAATTATAATCTGGTCCTCCAACAGCTTGAGGGACTGTGACCTGGCCCTCTGTTTAAAAAGTTTGAGGAACCCTGCTCTATGCCCTTAAGTTCCCCTTGGGCTTGAGGCTGCCTTGTAGAGACTTTTTCAAATGTTCACAAAAAACCCACAGGTCTACTGGTGCATTTCTCCTGCAAGTGGGTAATGCCACTGGGGTTGCACACGGAAAGCTGTGAGTCAGAAAACAGAGGGAACGAACTCCTGCCTCAAAGATCCCCTATGCTAGGCAATGAATGAATAGGGCCTCCAGGCAGGGTTCTGCTAGTCCTGGCTTCTAATGTTACTGCAGTTCTAAAGGAGAGCTGAACGTCGCTTTTACACATCTTACACATGCCTGCTAGGAACTTCATTCCACGCCAACCACCATATTTGGAAGACAGCCCAGACCTCCAAACAGAATGACTTCTACCAGTCTCAAGCTCAACCACACACCTTCTAAACCAGGCATGGGCAAACTTTGTCCCTCCAGGTGTTTGGAAGTTACACATCTTACACATGTCTGCTAGGAACTTTATTCCACGCCAACCACCATATCTGGAAGGCAGCCCAGGCCACCAAACAGAATCTGACTTCTACCAGTCAGCTAAGGCTGTAATCCCAACCACACACCTTCTAAACCAGACATGGGAAAACTTTGTCCTTCCAGGTGTTTGGGAGTTGAAGTCCAAAACACCTGGAGGGCTGAAGATTGTCCGTGCTTGTTCTAAACCAAGCAATTTAGCACACCTCAGGCATTCAGCAATAAGAGAAATGGAAGGAAATAGCAGAGCTGGACTGCCAATGCGATAATAAGAGAACTGAGGCTGTGCAGCTCGGAATGCCCCGGCTCACTTACTTTGGCATGACCATGCTTTCCGGTCTTGGAGGTGGACATCTCCACAATCTTGCAGGGACGCCCTTTGAGCACCACAAAGCCGTTCTTGCGGAGAGCGGAGCACTGCATGGGGAAGGTGGCGGAGGCCCCGGCATCGCCGGTCTCGAAGTCGAGGTCATCAGCCATGATGGATCAGATGTTATGGAAACTGCAAAGAGAAGGAAAAGTGTTCTCAGCACATGCTGCCTGGCACCCTTTTAGGAGGAGGCTCTCGCCAGTGTTGTTGAACTGTGCCCATGCCTGTACACTTTTCAAAGTTTCTAGTAACTGCGCATTTTATGTGACCGCAGTGTAGCTGTACAGAATCTGACATCAGATGAAAAAAGAACTTTATCAATAGAACATTAGATTTCAATACATTTGGCTATAGAATCACAGAATCAAAGAGTTGGAAGAGACCTCATGGGCAATCATCCAGTCCAACCCCATTCTGCCAAGAAGCAGGAATATTGCATTCAAAGCACCCCTGACAGATGGCCATCCAGCCTCTGTTTAAAAGCTTCTAAAGAAGGAGCCTCCACCACACTCCGGGGCAGAGAGTTCCACTGCTGAACGGCTCTCTATGGATTGTTCTCTTGCACTCCCTCTTTCACTCATACAACAGCCACTATTTTGGCAAACTTGGAAGCAGAAAGGGTGCTGAATACAGAATCCACACAAACTTACATATCTAACCAGTTTCCCATATACCACAGACCTTCATAATACACTGTGGTGATGAATTCCACGAATTCATGAGCTAGCTCATCTGGACACCTGCCAATTCATTTCATTAGATCATCCAGCACTGTGGGAGGAATGCCTTTTTGGGGCCGAGAGCCTTGTAGCCCATGGCCACCTCCCAGGTTGGGGGTTGTTTCCTTGCAAGGGGGGGGGGGGGGAGAGGCACACAGCCTTCAGGGAAAAGTCAGGCCCAATTGTATACCAGGTTAAAACCCCATGGAGAAAAGGGTAAGGAAAGCCAGACACTGGGTTCCTCTTGGGGAGGAGGGGGTGCCCTTTATGGACCCCTGGGCTTTATATGCAGTTCCCACTGGACAAAAGAAAGAACGCAGGAGGTAAAATGAACTGGAATATTGTCAGTGCTGTGCAAGCCCAGCTTCTCAATGCAAGAGCACACTCTTGTGGCTTGGCCCTTGACAAATACTGCAAACTTTTCCCCAGGAAAGTATTTCATCCCCAAATCTCAATTTAAACATTATGCTGCATGGCAGTGGTGTGTTGCCTGAAGAAAATGACAAAACTTTCACAGCTCGGTCTGGTGACACACATTTTCACCTAAGAATTTCATTCTGGCATATGTTTTTGTAGTCTCCAGACCACTTCATCAGTATAAAACTTGAGTCTATGGTACCACGTTATCATTCTTGCTGCAACAAACACAACTCTTCTCCCCACAAAATTAATTTATGTTTTTAAGCAGCAAAAAGGGATCTCAATATTTATTTATTTATTTATAGTATTTATATACTGCTTTTCTCACCCCTAGGGGGACTCAAAACGGTTTGCACATAGATAATGGCAAAAATTCAATGCCTTACAACTACAATAGTAAAACCGCACTTTAAACATAAATCATATTAAAAACAGTACATCACCAAATATCAAAAGTTATTAAAACCATTTATTAAATACCAAACATTTTCTAATATTTGATATTGAAGTTTTATCTCTTTTGTAGTAAGTCTATACTTTTTTGTAAATTTTCTTATTTTCAATTCCCTGGGACTTATCCTGAAGCCTGCCTTCCCATTTACAAAAAAGAGAGCTCCCATTATGTGCATCTAACCAGGTAAGTTTCATGAAAAAAGCCTTAAAAAATCCTAAGCATGTTCTCCACATGAAGCTGAATGGCCTACATTAGCACCTCAATAGATTCTTGTCATCCAGTCAACCCCTAATGAAAGAAAGAATGGATTAACATCTATTTTTTTAGATGGTAGCCACCCTGGGCACACCCAGATCTTGCCTGATTTTGGAAACTAAACAAGTTTAGGTCAGCTTAACACTTGGAGAAAAGATCCCAGGAGGATTAGCTATTTGCCAACCACACTGATAGAAGTTGGGGTATAGCTACAGAGAACCAGCACTGTTTAGTGGCTTGAGCATTAGACTGACTTTGGAGACCAGGGTTCAGATCCCCACTTGGCCACGCACTGGAGGGTCCTGGGCAAGCCACACTCTCTGGGCCAAAGAGGAGAGCAAAGGCCAACATCCTTGGCAACACGGCTTGCCAAGGAAACCCCATGGAAGAGTAGCCTATGCTCTGCCATAAGTCAGAAAGGAATTGACGGCACAAAACAGCACAAATATAAATGCAAACAGGGCCAACCTTGGCAAGTACCTAAGTAGGAGAATGTCAATGAATGGCAGGGACTTTGGAGAAATTTCAGAGGAAGGAAATGGCTTAAACAGACAATGCCTAAGTTCACACCTAGCTTCTAACAAGGAAATGTATGGGGTCCCTGAAGGCACATGAAGATAATTATTACTATCACTACCACCACCACCACAACAGCTGAAAGCACCCTTCTAGTATGTGTGAAAAAGATCTTGGAGTCCTCGTGGACAAGTTAAACATGAGCCAACAATGTGATGTGGCAGCAAAAAAAGCCAATGGGATTTTGGCCTGCATCAATAGGAGCATAGTGTCTAGATCTAGGAAGTAATGCTATCCCTCTATTCTGCCTTGGTTAGACCACACCTGGAATATTGTGTCCAATTCTGGGCACCACAATTCAAGAGAGATATTGACAAGCTGGAATGTGTCCAGAGGAGGGCGACTAAATGATCAAGGGTCTGGAGAACAAGCCCTATGAGGAGCGGCTTAGGGAACTGGGCATGTTTAGCCGGAAGAAGAGAAGGCTGAGAGGAGATATGATAGCCATGTATAAATATGTGAGAGGAAGCCACAGGGAGGAGGGAGCAAGCTTGTTTTCTGCTTCCCTGGAGACTAGGCTTCAAACTACAAGAAAGGAGATTCCATCTGAACATGAAGAACTTCCCGACTGTGAGAGCCGTTCAGCAGTGGAACTCTCTGCCCCGGAGTGTGGTGGAGGCTCCTTCTTTGGAAGCTTTTAAACAGAGGCTGGATGGGCATCTGTCAGGGGTGATTTGAATGCAATATTCCTGCTTCTTGGCAGAATGGGGTTGGACTGGATGGCTCAGGAGGTCTCTTCCAACTCTTTGATTCTATGATGACGAGATTGAATCTAGATTTTAACTAAGAGACACTATGAGGGGCTTTCTGCCCCTCTCAGAAGACACCCTCCCAGAATCCCAGAACGGCTTCCGCCCCTCCAGAGGAACCGTGGACATGGCAGTGGAACTCTCTGCCCCGGTGTGTGGTGGAGGCTCCTTCTTTGGAAGCTTTTAAACAGAGGCTGGATGGCCATCTGTCGGGGGTGATTTGAATGCAATATTCCTGCTTCTTGGCAGAATGGGGTTGGACTGGATGGCCCACGAGGTCTCTTCCAACTCTTTGATTCTATGATTCCTGAATCCCTGAGCATCGCAATCAAGAGTCAATACACTAGATTAGATGAATGGAGGCTCTGGCATTACATAAGGCCAACTCCCAGATCTCTGCACCCTGGGGGAGAAATTACAAAAAGTGCAGACACCCTCTCCTTGGAGAGGCCTCCCCAAAGGACAAATTTAGGCAGGTTTTCTGGTTTCTTTCAGTGGAGGCCCACGGTTTCCTAGCCACCCAGAACCCTTCCCATCTTCCATCGGAGCAGGAAAAACTAGACTGGGTTCCCGAGGAGGTGCCGCGCTGCAGGCTCATGCTAGCATTGAGGCAAAGCAAGACACAAGGCGGCCAGAGTCACAGCTGTTCTGAAAGAGTCCAGGGCCTTCTCCAGAGATTCGGAGCTCTCTTTGGTTTCAGCGTGACACTACAGTCGCTATGCTCTGGTAACTGATCAGGACAACTGCTCCGCCACCTGGAATGATGGCCCTTTTGAAAGAGGGGCCTGGTAGCGGCAGCAGGAGAGTCCCCAAAAGGCAGTCGAACGACCATGTACTCCCCATTTTTCCTACAGCAAGGGAGTGGCAGGAAAGGGGGAAGCAGGGAGTTTGGAGCGCCTCTGCCAGCAAGCGGGCAAGCAAGCCACGGCCCTTCACGCCACATGTTTGGAGGGAGACTCCCTCTCTTCCTGCCAAGACCAAGCATGATTCAGCTAAGCTGCCACTGCAGAGAGCCAGACTCAACCACGTGGCTGCCTTATGGAGGGGGACGGGAGAGAGAATGGCAGACATCCCTCGCCTACGGTCCTGCGCAGAGCCGGCCCCCTGTTTCAGGCCCATTTTGGGTGACCTCACACAGAAGATCGTCCCATTCAAAAGGCTCCGATTCCAAGCTCCCAGGAGTTCTTTGCACAGACTCCCCAGTCCCGTCCCCCCTCCCCACATGCTGATTCAGCAACAGCAACGAGCCAGCAGTGCGCTCTGGGAAGGGCCTTTCTCTCTCTCTCTCTCTAACTCTCTCATTCAACCAACCACCAACCGCCAGGCTCAGTTCATGCCCAGCCCAGGGTCCTTGTTATGCAAGGAAAAGCCCAGCCAACACCCACTCGCTCCAGCACAGACTGGAGAGCAAATGGTGGCCCTCCGCACCTCAAACAGGAGAGCAATCCCCAGTGGCGCTGCCAGGGAGGAAGGAAGGAAGGAATCCCCCTTGAGCCTTTCTCACACAGAAGCAACAAGTTGGGGGTCTTGGAGTTACGAGCCAAGTTCCCTTCAAAGCACAACGAAACTCATTTTTCCTGCCCTCCAAACGGCCTTGTCTTCCTTGCAAAGGGAGTACACAATGGAGATTGTGTACGCACATGTTAAGCTGAAAGCAGGCTATGTTCTGGGCAACTAACCCACCCTCCTGCAAGAGGAGACCCTCCCATTAACACCTACACAATCCCCTTAACTGACAGTATGTCTCCCTTCCTCAATTTGTCTTTTATGGTTGTCTGGGAAAAGCTAGATTTCTGCCTATTTTCCCAGCACTTACAACTCCTCCAGCACTAGACTGGTACGTGGCATTCCAGGGGTGGATAAAATGCATTCGTTACAGCTTAGTGCATTAAATAAACCTTTTACCTGGCATGGGTAACCCTTAAAGAGCCATTTCCAACCGGCACGTCTAATAATCGC